TGTGGTTTTTTTTTCTTTTTTCTTTCTCAATGTTACACATTTCAGATTCATTACATTATCATCATCATCATCATCGTCTACACAGTTGGTTCGTTTTTCTTGAAATTTTGTATTTTTTGTTTTCATATTCTAGTCAAGTGAGACAAAATACATCGACAACAACAACATTGTTCCCAGTGACAATCATTTATTACAATTTTCTTTTTCTTTTTAAATCTTTTTCTGTCAAACATAACAACTATTTTAGATTTCAACATCAATTTAGTATATGGAATAGCAATCTACCTTGACATTTTTGTTTTCTGTCAATGAATTTACTTTGCCAGATTATCCTACTACATTGTTTCAATCATTGTTGTTACAAATAAAAAATATGTTTCAAGGTTGAATCATAATATCATGGTTTTGAATGTTTTTGGTATACCATAAGCACTTGGAAATTACTGTTATTTCCCGTGAATTGAACCTATTTTTGATTGTTATTATTATTATTATTATTATTATTTCCACTTCCACCACCACCACCCCCACAACATTATTTCAAGTGGTTTTACTTTAACTTTTATTGTTGATTTTCAAACTTAACAAGATAAACACACACACACACACACACATACTGTTGGTGAGAGTGTGAAGAAACCAATCTAATATAATGGCAAATTTCTCATGTTTCTCTGGTTGGTTGGTTGGTTGGTTGGTTGTTTTCTTTACAGATTGTGGAATCAAACCAGGAGAGAGAGAGAGTGAGAGAGAAAAAAAAAGAAGAAAAAACCATTAAATTCGGCTTTACAATATTATTGGTCGGTCAATCATGTCAACACTGTTGTTGTTATTATTATTGTTGGTGATATACTGTCATGTTATGTTTGTTATATTCTCATTTTACTTTCTCATCATCATCATTGGTGTTGTTGTTGTTGTTGTGTTGTTGTTGTTGTTGGTTTATTTGTTTGTTGTTGTTGTTGTTATTTTGTTTGTATATATGGTATTTAATCTGGATGTTTATATATTTAGATTCAAGAATCATCATCATTATATAAAATGAAATGGATTCAATTCATCACAAGCCAACAACAACAACAAACTACAACATCAGTATGGTTTTTATTTTTTTATTTTTACTTTTTTATTCCAAAGATTTTTATTTTTAGATCATCATCATGTTTTTTTTTTTATTTCATTGATCAAATTGAATGGTTATAACAAAAATAAACGAACCAAAATTTTTTTTTCTTTCTTTCATTCATTCATCACTAGGTCTATATAAACACTGTATGTATATATATATGGTTTCACGTCATGATGATGATGATGATCCAGAATGAACTTCGTTTTCATTTTTGTTTCCTGGCTAACCAATCTAAATTGCCAATTTGTTAGTGGTGGTATAGAATCAAAAAAAAAAAAGTTTCCTTTTTCGCATAACATGTTTTTTTCATATTTTCATCAATCCACCCACACACACACACACACACACACACAAGCGAAAACTTTTTATTTGTTAATAATTTTTATTGGTTCACTAATTATTTCGATTTTCAAACTGATCAAAAATGAAAGGTGTGGATTATGTAAACGTTTGGAATTAAGCTAAATGTTTTCTTTCTTTATCCTTTTCTCTTTTTCTCCCATCATCATTATCATCATTATTCATGTATTCAAGGCAGATAAAGTTAACTTTTGTGTGTGTGTGTGTGTGGAAAAATTTAAGTTTTGAAAAAAAACTTTCAACTATGAATTTTGCTGTTGTTGTTGTTTTTCATCCAGAATTTTTTTTCTCATAATGAAAATTAATGAATATTAAATTGACTTGTATTATAATAACAATAATAATAATAATTATCATCATTATCATAATCTGTGAATGGAATGTGAAAAACTTTTGTTTGTTTGTGTGTGTGTTTTGGAAAGAAGATGATGAAAAAGAAGAAGAGAAAAAGTCTAGAGATTTCCGAGTTTTATTTTTACTATTGAACATCCGTTGCCGTTTCGGTTTCATTCATTCATTGTTTTTGTTTTTCACATTCGGACAACAACAACAACAACAACAATAACAAAATAAAAGTATAGGGTAACCAACTGAAAATCAACCGACCGAGATGACCGATTGAGAACAAAAATGCAACAAAGCGAAACAAAGAAGAAAGAAAGAAGAAAAATTCAATTTATTACATTTGGATACGCCTTTTATCGAACTGTAGATGAACAAATAAACAACAACAACAACAATAACTTTGGTCAATTCAAGATTCTTTTGTTTTTGTTTTCTGCAAATGGGTGGGATGAAAAAAAACGTGGAAATTTTTTTTTCATTTCTCTGTGATTGAAAAAAATTTACAGGTGAAATGAACATTTTGCTTGCTTGTTTGCCCCCATTGTGTTGTTGATGGCGATGATTAATGATTCGTGGACAATTTTTTGTTGTAAAATCAGCTGAAAAAAGTGATAACCTTTCAGATGATTTTTTTTCTATTATTTATTATACTAAATCAATTTTTTTTATGTGGGAACCACCAACCAATGACAATGAATAAATTTAAATATGAAAATGATGATATTCTATGGTTTCTTCTTCATTTTTTTTTATTGAATTTTTTTTTCTTTCATTCATGAAACAAGGACCAAAAAAAAAGAAAGAATATAAAAGTGGAAATAATGTGAAAATTGAAAAAAAAAATATAAATCATTACTATGATAATCTCAAATGTTCATGTTGTCGATGGAATTTCATATTCATAAACGTAATGAAGAAGAATTAGGCCTGATTATTATTTGGCCAAAGGCCAAATGATATTCTGTGTGCCGTGTTTTTTTTTAATACCACCACCGTTGGTGATGGTGATAAATATTTTAACTTTTTTTTCTCTCTCTGGTTTCATTCGTGGGTTTTTTTTCAATGGTGACGGCATAATTTGACGATGATGACAAAATAATAATGAATTAACTTTTACCAACCTTTGTGTTGTTTTTTATGATTTGAAACAAATAAATCCCGGTCAATTCTCGGTAATCATGAAGGTGAATCAGATTTTGTTTCATAATAAATCATTTGAATATGAATTTTTTTTTTGACATTTTTCAATTTATTTTACAAATTTTGATTTTTATAAAACTTTTTTTTTTGGTTTATTGTTTTCACAAAAATCTGAAATGATGAATTTCTGCACTAACAACAACAACAAAATTCTTGATGCGATTGAGCTCAGAAAAAAATCAAATCGAATCAATCAATCAATTGAACATCATTATGGATCACAACATACTTTGATTTTTGTTGGTCATGGTGAACTGATGTTAATTGATTGAATACAAAAGAAAAACTTTTCTTTTCTAAATGAACCGAATGAAAGTCAAAAATCATACGATAATATTTTCTATATTCATCACTGTGTTATCTTTGACCAAAGAAAAAAGAATGGAATGGAATGGAGTTTTCAACCAACGATTTGGTGATGGGGCAAATATAAATATATTCGACAGTTGGAAAAAAAGATGGGCATATCCAAAAATAATGTTTCAAAGTTTTCTTTTTTGTTTGTTTGTTTATTCCATTTTTATTATTCGGTTGTATATTTATTATTATTATTATGATTCTGTTCCATTCGGTTTCGTTTCGTTTCGTTTTCATTCATTGTTGTTGTTGATGATGATTCTATGGATGTGAAACGTAACGTAATGAATGGAATAGAATGGAATGGAAACCACGAAGACGAAAGAGAAAAAAAAATTCAAATCAAGATGAAACTTTACAATAATAACAACTAAAAATAAAAATGACAATGGAGAAAAATGATGTTCATTCAAAAACGATTTGGCTTTCTATTTTTATTTTTCTTTTTTCATCCATTCATTCATTCATTATTCAATTTTTCTCTTTCACTGTGAAAAAATATTTCAATTCGTTATGTCTGCCCGTCCGTCCGTTTGTTTGTTTGTTCATAAACACCACAATTGTTATGGTTGAATTTTTTTTCTGGTCTGTTCATTCGAATATATACAACAAACTTATGGATGACACACAAACAGACAGACTGACAAATGTGGTGATTTTTTTTTTGGAATGGATTTGCCACATTAAAATATCGATCCGAAGAAAAAAAAAATTTTTTTTTTGTTTGTTGACTATGACGATTCACAAGCATTTGGCCATGTTTTTGTTCAGAATTTTTTTTTTGCGTTTTTGTAGAATTTTCATTTGCTGTTCACTTTTAATTTCTTCCATATTCTGATTTTTTTTTACTTTTTTTCATACAGATTTTCTACGTTGCCTTTCAATTTCTTTTTTTTTGGTCAAGAAAAATTTTCAAACAGGGTTAAATGTTGCGCCAAAAAAAAAGATAATCAACACATCAATGTATTTATGACCTTAATTTATCACCATCATCATCATCATCATTATGTTGGCCAATAATAATGAACATCATCATCATCATCATCATCATCATCTACAACAAGAACATGATGAATGCAACATCTGCAATTGGAAAACATCAAAATTGAAAAAAACAAGAAAAAAATTGAAAAATTCAAGAATCGATGATAATGATGATGATTATGTAATATTGATAATTGCAAATAATAACAAAAAAAATAATTATCAAACAACAACAACAGCGATAATGACAAATATGAAAAAATTTTACAATGAAAATATAATCATCAATAGTTATAATTATTTTTCCATACAATGGTTGTTTGTACACATAATACGTTTATTCATATTATTATTAATATTTATGCCATTCATTATAATTCATCATCGATGGCCATCATCAACATTTATAATTATCATCATCATTGCTACAATGGCTACAGCAACCAATCATCATATATCATCATCATCATCATCATCACCTATTATAAAACAACCATTATCAACAACAGAATTTATTGAAAATAATAATGATGAAATGAAACAATCATTTTCATTATTATCATCATCAATACAACAAACGAGCTCTTCATTATCATTATTGGAAAATAATTTTAATAAAAATATCAACCATCATAATCATCATCCACAGCAGCAATCGTCATCATCATCATCATCATCATCGGATGTGATAACATCAACAAGGCCAAAGTAAGTGAAAGTGAAAAATTATTCATCATCATTTAAAAATCTAGGTTCAAAGGGTCAAATGTTTACTGATGTTCATTCTTTGGAAAAGAATGAAAAACCAGAGAAATAGAAAAAAAAATCTAAAATTTAGATGATAATTTTCCAAGAATTTTGTTCTGACCCACTTTGAAATCAAACAAATACTACCATCATTGGAATATCATCATCAAAATATAATAACTGAATGAAACGAAAAAAAAAGAATAACTTGAAATTCATGCTTGAATTTCAATTCACACAAGAATGGCAAAATAAAATTTTTTTTTTTTTTTTGCTTCAAACAACAAAACAAACAAACGAATTGATTCGTTTGTTTGTTAGTCAGTGATATGAAACGAATTTCATTCAGTTTTTTTTTCTCGTTTTCTAACTCTATCTCCCCATTATGGACAAGGATTGAATTTCAAATTTCAATTTCTATCACATTATTTCGTTGCTATTTGTTTGTTTGTTTGTTTGTTTGTCGAGTGAAGAATAAGAATAATTCACACAAATCTAATTTAACCATAATTTGTATGTGTTTGTAGGCAGTTTGAATTTTTTTTTTTTTTCGCTATTCAATAAACATGATGACATTGATCATTTTATTTTTGAATACGAGAACGTTTGACATTTACAGATTTTTTTTAGTTTTATTTTCTATGATGATGATGATGGTTGTTGATGTTTTTTTTCGCTTTGTTTTTGTTGACCACAAGGAAAAGGGAAAAAATCGTCAAAAAATTAGTTTACTGCAAATATTTCTCTCCATCACCTTTTTTCATTGGAAATTTATTTTCGTTCGTTGTTCGTTGTCATTCATGTCAAACTTTTTGGAATTAGTTTTTTTTCACGCATTTAATTGATTCGAGATTCATTTAAAACAAACTTTGATTTCTGGATAAAAATGTGCCATAGGCAAACCAGAAATAAAAAAAAACGTTCTGATGACATTAAATTTCAATTTAAATTTTAATTCAAATTCTTGATAGCTCTAGTTCATTGATTGATGTTATTTTATTTTTTTTTGTTAGTCTTTTTAAGTCACTATCATTATTATCCTGTTCATTGTTGATTCTCAAATGATTCATTCTTTAAATCGATTTTTGTGTGTGTGTGTAAATTGAGAATCATTTTAATTAAAAATCATTTTCATTTCATTTCATTCTGTTTGTATGTATGTACGTGATAAACATTCTTGATTCGATTCTTGTTGATTTTTTCAAATGATCACTTGTCACTTGAATATAAAAAAAAAATTCTTTTCATCAAACATCAACGAAAAAAAAGAGAGAATCAACTGATGTCATTATGTTGTCAAAAGATCGGTTGTCAATATTCTCGCTTTCTTTTCATACCTTTTTTTTGACAGAAAAAAAGTATTTTTTTTTTGTTAAAATTCCAATCGAGAAACTTTTCATGGAAAATTGTTTCCGAAAAATTTCCCATAATTATCTTCATTTTTATTTCAATTCAAATGAATTCTTGAAATTCTTTACATTCAAACTGATTATTATTTCATTTATTATTCCAATTTTTTCTCATTAACTAATTAATTAATTGTATCAAATTGAATCAAATCAAATCTAGATTTGTTTTTTTTTTTTTTTTTTTGTTTTTTGGTTATTGTCGGACGAGGTTTGTAACGGATAACCAAAAAACGAAAAAAAACCCAAAAAATGGCATTGTTATCATTGTTGGAAATACTACAAAGGCGAACTAAATTCCTAATTAGGAAAGTAAAATTAGAGTTGACTAGGGCTTTTTTTCGACTCGTTTATCTTTGCTGTTAATTTTTTGTTTTGTTTTTGTCAAAATCAATTAACTTGATTATCCTGTTTTTTTTTATCTCTACGAAAAAAAATACTGTCTACCTGGTTTAGATTTTTGAATTTTTTTTTTATTCTTCTTGGTAGTTGTTGTCCGAATTTTTTTGTTTTGTTTCGATAATCATACTCGCACACACACACACACGATACACGCTTCTGGAGATAGATCATATCGATCGCTAGGAATTGATGTAGAATTTTTTTTTTATTATCAGAATGAACATTGTAGATTTAACGATCTTGACATACACACACACACACACAGTGTGTACGAATTAAATTCCGTTATTATAATACAAAAAAAAAGTACCACAGAATCGTATTTGCAATTTACAATCGTTGACTTGGTTTTTCTTTTTCTTTTTTTTTATTCAGGTACTGATTTTCACTATAAAAGAATATAGATATAGATAGGGTTGAACCTTTTTGGTTAGTGATAAAAAAAAAGAAAAATTGGGCCAAACATAAAGTTGTGTTAGTGTGTGTGTTCGTGTTTTGCATATAGATTAAATATAGTTATGTGGATTTGTGTGAAGAGATAAAAATAAAACAAAAATTCTTGCAATCTCTTTTATGAATGGCACGCGTTCTTTTTTTTCTATAGTTTTTGTTTGTTTGTAGCCATAAATAGGTATATATATTTTGGTGTGTAGGTTAACGTGTGTTAATGTGAGTGTGTGGGACGATATTATTAATGAATGAATGTGTGTGTGTGTGTCATTAATGACCTTGATATCTACAAATACTATAAATATTATATAATGGGTCACATATCCATCATCATCATCATTTATTAAAATGGATCAAATATATAGAAAGATTAAAAAAAACGGTAGCACTACAAGTGGAGAATATTCATAAATATAGAGACAATTTGTGCAACTCAAATTTCACTAAAATGAAAATAGTTTGAAAGTTTCATATTACAATTATGAAAGATAATCGTTTACGATTAAAGATTGTCAACAATAATAATCATTATGATGATGATAACAACGGGCAACAACAACAAAAAAAACGGAAAATTTATTCTCTCAATAAATAATAATGATAAAAAAAAGTTTCTGAAAAGAAAAAAGTTTAGAATTAAAAAAAAAAATAAAAAAACCTAACGATTACCATCTGGTTGATATTATCATACAAACGACATCGGTTTCATTTGTTCGATTCCATGTTGTTGTTGTTGTTGTTGTTTTTGCTGTTTATTTATTAACACCACCTACGCCCACGCACACACACACACCCAAATTTAATCTGAAATTTTTTCGGTTATTTGAAACTAATGATTTTTTTTCTCTCTTTCTTCTCGTTAGACAAACGGCAATTGGACAGAATATAACACGAATATTGAATGCCTTTTTCGATAGTGGTTATGATAAACGTGTACGTCCCAATTATGCTGGTAAGTAAAGTGTGAAAGTAGAAGAAAAAAAAAGTTTTTTCATTTTCACATTCATCCAATTGTTGTGTGATTGGTGAAACAAAAATAAAACTGAAAACAAAACAACAACACAACAACAACAAAAAGATTGCTTCTGGGCCATCCAAGTTTGTTGTCGTTTCCGCCATTTTATTCTGCTGTCCAGCATCTAATAATTTATTGAAGATTGAAAAACAAATACAAATATACACAAACACACACACACACACATAGACAGACACACACAGACAGATACCTTGATTTTGATCGATTGAATCAACATCAACAGTATTGTGTATGTTGATCGATCGATGATCAATCAAAATTTCCCATTGGATTTTCATATATATTACGATCTTATTATTTTGTTTTTTTTTTTTTGATGATTCGACCAGTTTTTTGATAATCGAATTTTTTTCAATTGTTTTTTCTTCTTCTTCTTCATCATTGTTATTTCATAATTATTCCCAATAGGTCCACCAGTACAAGTTGGTGTTACAATGCATATAATCAGTATCAGTTCAATATCGGCCGTACAGATGGTATATTTTCGACTATTTCGATGATTTATAGATAGATTTTATTAATTGATTTTTTTTCTTCATACATTAATATAGGATTTTACATCAGATTTTTATTTTCGTCAATCATGGCGTGATTCAAGACTTAGTTTTCAACCACAGCCCGGTATACAGGCATTATATGTTGGCGCTGAAGTGTCGGAAAAAATTTGGGTACCCGATACATTTTTTGCTAATGAAAAAGCCGCTCAATTTCATATGGCTACAACGCCAAATACATTTATCCGTATCAAATCCAATGGTGATGTGTTCCTTTCTATGAGGTATGGATGGAAAAATATTTTCATTTTCGTTGTAAATGAATAATTCAAAAATAAAATAAAAAACATTTCACACCTTCCTTTATTACAGACTTACAGTAACTTCAAGTTGCCCAATGAATTTACAATATTTTCCAATGGATCGACAAAGCTGTACGATCGAAGTGGAAAGTTGTGAGTATATATATTTATTTTTTTTTCTCATGAGATAGTAAAAAAAATTCAAATTTAAAATCAAATTAAATTCAACCAACTAGATGGCTATTCAATGGCCGATATACAATATAAATGGGGCATCGATGGCCTAGGATCAGATGTTGTATTGGCCAAAAATTTAGAACTGCCACAATTTAAAGTTTATAAACATTTACAAAGACGTAAAGTTGAAGTTCTTAGTACAGGTATGTATTGATATTTGAATAATTTTTTTTTGTTGTTGTTACATATATTGAATCTAATAACAATTGACCTTGAAAAAAAAACCAAAACAAAACAAATAGGAAATTATTCACGTTTAGTATGTGAAATTGAATTCGTACGTTCAATGGGATATTATCTAATACAGATCTATATACCAGCATCATTGATTGTCATCATTTCATGGGTATCATTCTGGCTTCATCGGGTAAGTTTTAATATTAAAAATTATAAATCGATTGTTTGATGTTTTTTTTTACTGGGGAAAATAGTTACAAAAAAAAAATATACGGAAATTAAGGATCAAATCTGTCAGCTACATGCGAACATACACACACACACACACACATTAGATCGCTATTTCATAGCAACAAACTTAATATCCTGAGGATTCTTGTACTTGTTTGCATGTTTCTATGCGTGTGTGTAAATATTCTTTCTTATTAATAATGAGATTTTTTTTTGTATATTGAGAAATGTGGTACACGTTTTCATCAATGATGATGATGATGATGATGAGAGAGGTGATACAAATGTCGTTTATTTATTTTTTTTTCGCTACATTTCAATAGAATACATAACAAGAACACACACACACACACACACACAGATCTGAATTCTTTCAGATGATGATCATTATTCAATAACAACTTTATATTGAATAGACTAGATATTTTTTTTTGATAAACTGCTGCTGCTGTTGTGAATTTCATTTGAATGAAAAAGGAAAATGAAAGAAAAGTGTTAAATCAATTGGCCTCCTATGGCGGTGATGAACTTTTAATAAAAAATAAAAAAAATTTGTACACGATTTGTATGATGAATTTGAGTTTGGTTAGTTTGTGTGTGTGTGTGTGTGTGGATGCGTGTTTTTGAATCATAATCATCATCATCATCATCATCGTTATTAATTATATTTTGTTTATTATTAAAATTGGTTCGAAAAAAAATTGTATTCCATTCACCCTTGATTATTATCATAATTTTTTTCTTTCCTTCTGAACCTACAACTACTACTTCTTCTTCTTCTTATGCCACAAGAATATTAATGATTATGATGATGATGAATTTGAAAAGAAAATTTTTTAAAATTATGTCAGCTTAAGGCAATGAAAGTAAAAAAAAGAAAAAAAAATTACAAAGTTTTTTCTCCATAATTGGCCTTGGTTAAAATCATCAATGGAAAAAAAAATGAAAATTGAATTTTGTCACCATCATTATTATGTGATTAATGTGAAAAGAAACAACAACAACAAAAAAAGATGAAGAGAATTTTAATTTGATTTCAATTTTTTTTTTAAACATTTTCCATTTATAAAATTCCTACGAATTTGATGAAAAGAGTTATATTCATTTTTATTTTTGGAATCGACTAGTACGAAGACGAAGACGACGACGACGACAAAAACCTGGTTGAATTTTCAATTTTTTGTTGTTGTTGTTGTTGTTCGTTCCATTTTCGCTCAATTCATGGAACAAATTTTTTTTTTCATCGTTTTGTGTGTTTGTGCCCGTTTCGTTTGTAGAAATGGTTTGTTTATTTATTTTTGTCGAATGAATCGAACGCTGATCGAATCGGTGATCAAATCCAACTAAAAAACGACTGAACCAGAACTTTTTCAAATACCAGCATTGTGTGTGTGTGGAAACAAGGGCCCAAAATATAAAGTGAAGAATTTCTGAATGATTGAAAAAATATATATCTGCCACACTATTGCTATATATATGAAAAAAAACTCGGTAGTTCAACAATGAAAATCGAAAAAGAAACCAAAAAAAAAAAAAAAAATTTGAAAAAAACTTTTGAATTCCTTGAACAAAAAGAAAGAAAGAATGGAAAAATAAAATAAAATTCATTCCATCACATCAGTCGGTGAATTGAGTGGAGTAATTTTTTTTCTACTCTCTTTCTCTCTCTCTCTCTCTCTTTCTTTTACAAACATTTTCCATTAAACAAAGAAAAAACCTACTTACAGTGTCTACCTATATGTTTGTTTTCTGTTTGTGTCTTGTTTCTTTTCAGGTATAGCCAAAAAAAAAACAACACTGACACACACAACAACAAATGATCCATATTCGAGCTGTGATTGTTTTTTTTATCCAACCAAAAAAAAGAAAATATTTTTGCTGTCCATAATAACATGTGTGCGAACGTTATGTTCATCTTTAAAAAAAAACTATACCAAACAATAATAATCCTTAAAGTTAAAAGGAAAAAAAATCACCAAACTTCCATTTTTTATTACGCCTACCCACCCTACACTACATTACCAACATCTTGAATCATTTCAATCTATGAAATAGAAAGAAATAAATGATAATAGTAATGGGCTATTTACGTATTGTATCAGTAGAGAGAGAGAGAGAGAGAGAGTAGTAAGTAGGTAAGTAACTACGGTAGATAGGTAATAATCTTTCAATATGGAATGTCAAAAGACAAAAAATTCGAATGAATCTCTTCTCTTGTTCTCTTTTGTTTGTTGCTAGAACTTTGTATAAGAATAAGCCAAAGTTTTAAGAGAGAAAATTTTTGTTCAAAAAAGAAGCTTCCTATGATGATGATGATGATGGTAGTGGTATTGGACCGAATTACCCGAATAACATCGAAGAATATTCTCATTATTATTAACACACACACACACACACCTAATGGCATATACAAAAAAACACACACACACACACATAGCTAACGATTATATGACATTTATTATTAATAATAATGATCTAAAAAAAAAGAAAGAAACGAAAATTTTTCTCTTCCCCAGTTTTAGTTTCAGTTTCATTCAATGATTCAAGAATCTTATTATGATTTTCCAAAAAAAAAAAAAACATTTTCTTCTTATTTGAGAATGAAAGAAAATTATATTCCATTTATTTTACTGGATGTGTGTGTGTGTGTGTGTGTGAACAAAAAATTGATCTATTTTGAAGATTTTTTTTTTTTTTTTTTTTGAAATTTTTTTTCTGGTTCTATTTAAGTTTTGATGATAATGATTGCGTGCCATTTTCTTTGAATGATGATGATGATGATGATGATGATGATGGTTGTTATGAATGTGTCGATCAAATTGCCATCAAAATGTCAAAATGATAAATGTTTTTATTTTTGTAAAAACATTTTGTTGTTGTTTTGAAGAAGAATTTTTTGTTTTATTTTTTTCTGATTTTTGTTTTTTATTTTCATTTAAAAAATTCTATATTCATCATCATTGGATTTAGAATGCAAGTCCAGCTCGTGTACAATTGGGCGTTACAACCGTATTAACAATGACAACATTAATGTCATCGACAAATGCAGCAATGCCAAAAATTTCTTACATTAAATCTATTGATGTATTTTTGGGCACCTGTTTTGTAATGGTATTTGCCGCCTTATTAGAATATGCAACCGTCGGTTATATGGGTAAACGTATTGCTATGCGTAAATCACGTACACAACAAATTGTACGTATATTGAATGAACATCGTGAAAAATGTATTGCAGCAGCTGCGGCCGCTGCACATGAAGCTAAAGATATTGGTGTTGGCGGTGATGGTGGTGGTGGTGGTGGTGATGATGATGATCCAGCTAATGCCATTACTATTCGTCGTCATGGTGCCCTTATACGTACAGCCTCCCTTTATCCGAATATGGAACAATTGGATGAATTGGAATCATATCATAAACGGGTATGATATTTTTTTCTGATTTCATTTTTCATTTGATTTTTCAATTTTTTTTTTGGTTATTTCACATTTGATCAGGGTATACGACCACCACATGGTTATGGTGGCCGTCATTCATTTGAAAGAACAGCATCATTGAAAAGTCGTATATTCACCGATAGTAATGGTGGTGGTGATGATCCGGAAACTGGACCAAATTTCAATGATGATCTTAATGTATTTGTAGCTGCTAATTCTGGTTCAAGCACAGCGGTTGGTGGTGGTTCATCACCACCATTCCATACATTAGATCCACATATTTCCGCTGCACTTTATCATCATGGTGAACGTAGTGCTACTGCTGGTGGTAGTACTCGTGTAGGTAGTAGTCGTCGTAGTTTTTCCGGCCTTTATGATACAAATGGCCGTGATATGAGACATTTAGCCGAACGTGCATTTTTACCATCAAGCTATTATCTTAAAAATCAGAATACATTATTCGGTGTTTGTCCAAGCGATATTGATAAATACTCACGTGTTGTGTTTCCTGTTTGTTTTCTTTGTTTTAATCTAATGTATTGGATCATTTATATGCATATTAGTGAATTTCTTATTGAAGATCAACAATTAGATGATGGAACTTGATAACAAATATGATACAAACAAACAAATAAACATGAAAAAAAATCGATGAAAAAAAAACAACACAAGTCCATTTACAATTTTTTTTTTTTTTTTTGCTAATACATACAAACCAATATTATTCCAACATTCGACACTGAATTCTGGTCATTCAAAAATCGATAAACAAAAATGGATGTGCGAGAGCTGACCACTGAGTTGTATTGTTGTCATCATGTATAATAATAATAATAATTTGTTACATTTATTGTTCGGTTTTTTTATGGATTTTTTTCCACTTGTTTATTTAAAATGGTTTCTATACACCACCCACATATTTATTTTAGAAAAAAAAATATATTGCATTATATCAATCAAACAATCGATTAATCGATTGTTGAATTTTGTTGGTTTTTTTTCCAAGTTTTCTTTTTCTTTTTATATATATGTACAAAATCATCATCGTTATTTATATACACGCCTATCGAATCCAAACACTCTAAATGCACCTTGTTTTTTCTCATCATCATTATCATTATCATCATCAAAACAAAACGAGAATAGATAAATTCCCAAAAGTGCTTCTTTATTTGTCATTTTTTTTCACTATTTATTTCTCGTTTTATTATTGTTTTACACACACACACACACACACACTCAACACAAAACATCACTGAATCACGTGTCACGAAATTGTTACAGTTCAAATGATGAAATTATATTCGAGCTAACCTTAAACAAAAAACATTGAAAATCGACCTTAATTAAAAAAAAAAAAATTCACATACATCAATCATTGTAAATCATTATATAAATTGTACAAAAAAAAACACGAACATATTTATGATTTGTTTGTTTTTTCATTATATATATGAGAACACACCAGAATTGCATTATAATATACACAAAATTCAACAATCGATTAAATGATATTCGATAATTTGAAAATGGACAAGAGTAAATTGAAGGTTATTTTGAATTTGAAATTGACACCATATGATTATCGGGCAATATAGTTTAATATATGGTGATGATATAGTTATGTTTGTATAGTAATAAATAGAGTCATTATATAATATGAAAATTCATTGAATATATCACCTATAGTCAAAAAGTGTAATTTGACTTTTTTTTCCAGTTTGAAATTGATTGTCAGTTTCAGGTTTTTTGTTTTTGTTTTTCATTCATACCTCTTGGTTTCTTATGGGAATTCAAAAAAAAAAATCGAATCGATCTGATTGATAGATATTTTCATATACGAATCATCAATCTATAATTTTGTTTCATCATCATCATCATCATCATCATCATATTATGCAATCAATTTGTACCCTAAAATTATTATTACATGTTTATATATCCAATGGATTCGATTCCCAATGGATTTTTATTTGGATGGTACTATATGGCCATATAATCAGATAGCCAATATATGACAAAATGGTCATTGGAATTTCATTTTATGCCATAATGATTATAATAGAGAATATATATATACGTGTGTGGCCTTGTATTTTTTCCATCATCATCATCGTAATCATCGTCATCATTCACATTTGAAATATATAATAAATTGATTTGAATAAATAAATGATGATAAATGTGAATAAATAATTGATCCCATCATCAAACGATGATGATGATGATGATGATTACAAGTTTTATTTTCAATTCAAAAATAAATATCATTCGAAATGTTTGTAAAAAAAAAATTGCAAGTCGTGCTGCCATCTATGTTTTTGAATTCAATGCTTTTCTTCAATACTTTTCGAGTCGTTCATATTTTCATAGATGAATCAAATTTCAAACACAGAATTTCCGCTAATCATCGGCCAAATACCAAATGTACGTTGTTTTTTTTCTGATTTCATTTTAAATGAATTTTGATTTTCACATTAGTATATGTTTTGTTCGTGACAATGGCTAATTTAATGAAAAAGAAATCCAAAAATGGTGATGATAATGAAAGAAATGAGGTTGATCTCGATTTAGATGATGATGATGATGATTATGGTTTATTTGAAGATAATCTATGCTGTCGAATCAAAAGAAGAAAAAATCAATATTGTCATTTAAGACAAATTGAAAATGATGATGAAGATGATGATTGTAATCTAATTGCAAAGAAATTATTCGTCATTGATGATATTGATAATTTCAATGCCGAACTACAAATTTCAAATCAAAACATTCATAATCTTGTCGATGATCGATTCGATAGGATTGATTCAGAAACGGACGAAGATTCTAATGATGATATTGAAGATGAAAGTGATAAACATGATAGAAATCAATTGTCCACGAAAAGTTTATACGAAATTTATGAACCAATAGAAATAGAACATAATTATCTGGCCAAATCGGATAACAAGATTCGTACGACAAATATTCCCGAACGTTTCCAAACACGATCAATTCCGGTTACTAAAGCCAAAGCGAATGAAATTCGTAAAGAATCTCAATGGATTTATCGTAATCTTTATGAAATACCAACGATAACAAAACAGGATAAAAGTGTTGAAGTTCCACAACCGTTAGCCGGCACTACTAAACCACGATCAGCTATGAATGCTATATATCGAATATTAAATTGTATTCGAAATGAAAAACTTAGCATACCATTTTTAGCCTATTATCGTAAAGAAGAATATTCACCTGATCTATCTATCAATGATTTATGGTTAATATTTAATTGGGATGAAAAATGGTGTAAATTGAATCAAAGAAAACAGAATCTTATTGAACTATTGAATAATATGCAAGAATATCAATTATATGAAATGATGAACAAACCGAATGAATCATTACCGGATGATTTTCGTTGTATAACCCATATGGACATACAAAATGTACAACATTCCATTCAATCGTTTGAAGAATTTAATGATTATTATATTCATTTTCAATTGTATTATGGTGATGAATTAACAAAAATGAATCAATTTCTAGTTGAACAAGAACGAAATACCATCGAATGTGGTGATCAAAATCAAAATCAGGAATTGGGTGCAAATCAAACCAATAATGTTAATGAAGAATTTGAAAAAAATGTAACCATCAGATTTAGAAGATTTAAATCAACAAAAAAAGATACGTATCCATTTTGTCGAAGATCTGGTATTGGAAAAATGGCAACAAAATTTGGTTTAAAACCAGAACAATTTGGTGAAAATATATCCTGTAATTATCGTAAACATAAAATCGAACAATATGAAAATTATCCGTTAGAGATGGCACAGAAATATGTGTCAAAATGTTTCAATACAGCTGAAAATGTTTTACATGCAGCCACATTTATGGTTGGTAAACAATTATCTTGTGATCCATTGGTACGTAAAACGGTGCGACAAATGTTTTATGAACGTGCTACCGTTACGGTTAAACCGACGAAAAAAGGACAAAAAGAAATTGACGAATCACATGCATGTTATACAATGAAATATCTACGAAATAAACCAATTTCAAGTTTCACTGGTGAACAATTTATTCATCTAAATGCAGCTAAAAATAATGATCTTGTCAATATGATCATTTCGTTGAACAATAACAAGGATAATTTGGCAAACAATGAAAAACCATTTGAACAATATTTCAATGAGATCAAATATCTCTATCAAAAGGTATTCATTTCATTGGTTGAATGATGATTGCATTTGATTATGAAATTTTTCCTTTTTTTTCACTCATAGGACGAATTTCGTAAAACTGTTCATGATTGGAATGAACAACGAAGTCAAAGCATTATATATTGCTTTTGATCGTTTTCTTTACCCTGATTTGGTCAAAGAATTTATCGCTAAAATTTTGACTGAAACACAACATACAATCATACAGGTTAGCAGCAAAAATTTTTTTTCCATTCATTAATGTAATGATAATGTAATGAACAAAAAAATTTTTTCTAGCATTGTGCTAATAAATTGGCTTCATATTTAGCAATTGGCCCATATGTACCGAATTTTGTACAAGCTGAAAACAACCATAACGATTATGATGATGATTTTAGCATACATAACGGTATACGAATTATTGGTTTTGCATATTCTCATTGTGAAGAAGAAGCTAGCTATTGTGCTTTGATTGATGGTAATGGTCACTTAGTCGATTTCATTAAACTTAAATGGACTTCTAATGAAAAAGATTATGATAAACTGCAAAAGTATGTATGATTTAAATAATGTAAATTTTACAATTAATGAAAAAAATTTCTGATTTTTGTTTCATTTTATTTCTAGATTTATTGTTGATAAAAAACCACATGTAATCGCTTTGGGTACGCATACAGTTGTTATCAAACATATTCGAAATGAAATTATCGCTATGATTCGTAATCTACATGAAACGAAAAAATTCCCATTAATAAATGTAGAATTGATCGATTCAGAATTGTCATCAATTTTCATGAATTCTAAACAAGCTGAAACTGATTTTCATGATCATCCACTTAAATTACGACAGGCCATATCATTAGCCAGACAACTACAGAATCCATTATTAGAATTTGCTCAATTATGCACGGTGGATGAAGAAATTTTATGTCTGAAATTTCATCCATTACAGGATATTGTATCGAATAAAACATTACTAAATGCATTGTATGCAGAATTTGTTAATCGTGTAAATGATGTTGGTGTTGACATTAATCAATGTCTAGTTCATCCATATAAATCATCAATAGTGCAGTTTATTGCTGGTTTTGGTCCACATAAAGCTTCTCAACTATTTCGAACGTTGAAAAAACAACAACCACCATTGCTGATGAATCGAGCTCAGCTATATGAAAAATGTAAAATCGATGAAAATATCTTCATTAATTGTGCTGGTTTCATCCGAATCAATAAGGATTCATTTTCCACTGATTTTGACAACGATACTTGTATCGAATTTTTAGACAGTACTCGTATTCATCCTGAATCTTATAGATGGGCTTGGAAAATGGCCATCGATGCTCTTCATCATGAAGAATGCGATGATCATGTAGTCAAAGAATTTGAAGAAATCATCGAAAATCCAAAAAAACTTTATAATATTGATTTGGATAAATTTAATGAAAAACTTCACCAACAAGGCTATAATCATGGAAAACAAACACTACAAGACATACGATCGGAATTGATTGATCGATATAAAGATCGACGAATTCCGTATCAGCCACCTAATAATGAAGAAATGTTTCAATTATTGACCAAAGAAAATCGCTCTACATTATACATTGGACGATTGATACAGGTTCGTGTTATCGATATAGTACGACAAAAACCAACAACCGAACAGTTGAAACAAGCAAAGCCGATTCATGTTAAAAATGAACTTTGGAAATGTTCATTATGTTTGAAAAATTATTGTAATGATTTTACTAAAGTATGGGATCATATTAATGAAAATCAATGTCCAGGACAAGCGATTGCTGTTCGTGTATGTTTAGAAAATGATCTTACCGGTATTATATGGCTAGAATTTCTTTCCGATAATCATGTAATAGATCCACTTACTAGAGTGAAAGCAGATAAACTAATACATTGTCGAATATTGAAATTGGATATGGAAAGATTTTCGCTTGAACTAACCTGTCGTACATCGGATCTAAACAATGTGGATAATCGTTTTAAATTGGTCAAAGATAATCATTATGATTTTGATGAAGAAAATTGTGATTTTAAAAAAAAAGAAATTAGAAAAAAAGAATCTGAAATTTAAAACAAAATGATGATTTCTTATCCATCCAACTTTCTACAAATATTGATTTCAGACAAAAAAAAATCATCGATTATTGAATATAAAGAGAGATCCAGAAAGTTCACAGCGATTCAAATGGTCCTTATATTCGTGTTGCAACATCAAACAAAAAAAAACGAAAAAAATAACGCCCGCTGTCAAGGCCATTACATGATCCATCAACGAAAAAAAAAAATTTAAAATTAAAAAAAAAACGTTTGTTGTTTTTGATTTGATTTGATTTTTATTTCAATTTTTAAACGAAGAAAATTGAAATTGAAAATCTGAATAAATTGTTTTTTTTGTCTTCATTCATTTTATCAACTTCACACACACATACACATTTACCACTTGTACACAGTTCATTCTCACCTTTTCGATGATAATCGACATCGAACATATGATGTAATTAGAGAGGCAAGTAAAAAATGATAATAATCATAATTCATAATAATATATATACAGTATATATGATCGATTGATCGACGACATTGGCATCAGTAAACAACAACAACAACAATAACAGCGATGATAACAATTTTTTTTTTGTTCACTAAATTGTTTTGCATTCCATATTGTACTTGTTCTTGTGATCTTTATGTGTTGAATGTGTGTGTGTGTCTTTAATCATAATATAATAAAAGTTAGTTATTTGTTTTGTTTTACATTTTTTCATTTAGTTTGTTCCATGTGTTTTATGATTTTTTTGTTTGTTTGTCATATTGTAAACAGAAAGAACATAATAATGTAAATGTGACTCGTGTCTGTCTGTCTGTGTGTGTGTGTGTGTGTTTATTATTGATAAACCCGATGAATTTGTTCTTGATCAAATCAATCATAAAAATCGAATATATAGTTTTTTTTTTGTTAAAGCTTGTCGAACATGAAAAAAAATAAGGATAAACAGGGATTTCAATTGGATTTTGTTCATTTGTTTGTCTTAAAATCTTCAGGTCGATGATGGACATGATTTTTTTTTTGCTGTTCGTTTGTTTGTTTGCTGGACAAACCGATCAAATCGATTTTGATGCCAAAAATGAAGAACAGATATATATATGGCCATGGCTAAAATGTTTCCTGGTGTTGATTGTCGTCGAAAAATCGATTGTTTTTTTTTTGTTTCGATATCGATAATGGAATATATTCGAATTGTTTTTCAGAACATCATCACATTTAAAATCACGATGAGTAAACGATGATCAATTTTTTTTAATTCATTACAAAATGAAACAAATAATTCAGTTCTAAAATAAGATTTGAAAAGTGAAATTTTTTTCATTAAAGAAGAAAAAAAAACATTTATCCATCCTACCTATTCATTCATTTATTGAAAAAAGCCTGTAAGATATCACTGAAAAAAACTCGATGATCTGATGATCCATATCAATCAATCGATCGATCGATCGATTATATTCTAATAGCTATGATTGATCCGTTAATCCTTTTTTCATCATCATCATCATCATTGATCGAAAGATGTATACATCATACAGATGTTCAAAAGTCGTATTTGTCAGATTTGTCAGAAATGTCCAATATTTGAATTGTCAGCCATTTTCATCATCATTTGCCATCAATGACTTAAACAAAACAAAGAAAAAAAAACTTACAAAAATAGAATTCAATAGTAATAATGATTGAAAGTTTTTTTTCAAAAAAAAGAACAAAATGAACTGAAAAAAAATAAAACTTGAAACGAGCCAAAATTAGAAGAAAAATAAATACCGTGTTTTCTCGTCGATTTGCCGCGGGTTATGACCGTTTTTACATACATCTGCACTTTATGTGACCATTGCAACCAATATCTCAAAAGCGTGTGCTGGTTATCGTCTTGAAAATACGGTATATACTCAACAACAAGTACATCCGGTCGATCGTCATTATCATCCATTGTAATTTGTAATTTTGGTATTTAAATAAAGCAGAAAAAAATCGTTTGTTTTTTTTGGAAAAAAAACCAAAAACTCTGATATTTGAATCCGATTAAAATTGTTTTTTCATTTTTTTTTCAAATAGGTAACCATACATTGGTTTTGGGTTTCTATTACTACCATTACCACTTGATGGATGGTCAATTGAAAAATCATCATCATCATCATATATCATTTTTTTTTGCCATAAAAAAATAAAGAAAAATTACCATCATAATCAATTGAATTAAATTTAAATAATCTTATTTCATTTCATCTGTACCGATTTAGTTGATTCAATAATTCATAATTGAACATTTCCTCACACAGCAATGACATTTGTACTATATTGTGCTATTATTATCATTTTTGGAAAATGAGAAAAAAAATCAAAGATAAGTTTTACTAGACAATTCATTTGATTATTGTATGATCATTGACCGAATGACCGAATTTTCTTCATTTTTTTTTTGCATCGGATGCTTCTGTATATTCATTTTGTTCAACAAAACATACAAATAAATATCGAATGATGATGATTATTGGTCAAAATGATTAAAATATTTTCACATTTTATAACCATGCGGTAATTTCATATCATATATTAAACATTCATATTTTTTTTTCTTTTCAAAAAAAGAATTGATTTGATTGATTCGAGTTTTGATCAATCAAATTTGATCATTATGACTGCTTCTTCTTTCATTATGGCTAGCCGATAATCGATATTGATGATCGATAATGACCTCTGAAAACAATTGAAATTGATCATGTTTTTTCTGTCGTTGTTATTGTTGTTATTGTTGTTGTTGTTGTTGTGGTTCATTTTTTTCCTTTTTTTTTCGTAATTGAAACTCTTTTTATCGATCAATCGAATAAATGATGAATGGAAATTAATCCAGATGAACAATGAGAAAACAAAACATTAACATTAATCAATAGATGGTCAAAGTTCAACAGAATTTAAAAAAAAAGAAAATATCGGACAGAAAAAAAAATTTTCAGGTAAAGCTCATTTCAGATTGTTTTTTTTTTTTTTTTTTTGATTTGAACAACACAACAATTAATCCGTTTAATTAGTTCATAGCACATAAATCACTTACACTAATAGTAGTGGCTCTGGATCTGAATGGCCTTGTACTATGTATTTTCTATATACAATATCAATTTGACCATTTCCATTTCCAACAGGTGGCTAAATTCATTTATTTTGTGTTATTTTTTTTATATCTATCATTCAAATGACATGGAACATTGTACAAAAAAAATTCAAATATTCGACCGACGAATATGGTAAATAAAATAAAAGAAAAAATCGTGAATATCATCAATGTATATTGCTGCCTGTGGCTGAATAATTAAAACCCAATTATATAAATGAATGAATGAATGAATGGAAAACTTTTTTTTTCTGTGAAAATTTTTTTTTGTGTTTGAAGATTTAATTATCACCAAACACACAATCCATGTTAAGCTATATTATATTATGGATATCACAATCTAATGAATCTACCTGCAAAAAAAAAATGTTGATCACATTGAATGGTGGATAATTATGTTTTTTTTTCATTTTCATTACATATGTAACATATGGATTTTTTTTGTTGTTGTTGTTGTTCGTTCGTTCTTTTATTCACTCTTTTCCGGTCCAAACATTATATATCAATTGTGATTGTGTATGATTATGATTATGATGATGATGACGAAAATTTTCAATTGTTTAATATGATAAACAAATAAGTCAATCTTAATCGGTAAACATGTACAGTACAATCATTGAAACAAAAAACAAAAAAATGAAATTTAATGAAAAAAAATCATTAATGGTCTGTCTGACTGCATGTTTGTTTGTTTTATTAAATTAATAATCACATTAAGATGATCAATTCGTTTGATTGAATTGTACACACACACACACGTCTTACACCATTCAAATGATAAGTGATCAATGGGGTGAATATTTCCAAAAAAAATGATCAAATTTACGGAAATATTTAAATGAAAAAAAAAGAATTTTTAAATCAAATCTATAATTATTGGACAAATGATGGTCATCATCATCATCATCATCATCCTCATCATCATCATCTGTCATGGGTGTCAAGAAAATTGTTTTTTTTTGCCAGAAAAAAATAATAATAAATTAGATTTAATTTGAATTGGGCGAAATTCAGAACACACACAGAAAAAACGAAAAAAAAAACCGGCAATCATCATGTCATCATTATTGAGGATCATCATCATCATCATCATTGGAGTTACAAGAAAAAAAAGGTTGTGATATGGAATAGCCAAATAAAAAATAGCCAAGGCAGAAAATAGCCAAATACTGAAAATATCAAAATACTAAAAATAGCCAAAACTGGAAATAGCCGAAGCAGAAAATAGCCAAGGCTGAAAATAGCCAAACCCTAAAAATATCAAAATACTGAAAATAGCCAAGGCAGAAAATAGCCAAATGAAAAATAGCCAATCATTAAAATGGGCCAAAAATGAGCCAATGATAAAAGATAGCTAAATAAATTAGCGCAATAAAAATTAGCGAAAAATAACACGTTATATATGAAAGGTTATGTCACAACAAACACACACACATTTGTTCCTGTGATTTGTGCTCGATGAGTGTGTATGTTGATGAAATTAATTTTTTTACTTATACATTTCCATTTTTTCTTTATGTTCAAATGAAAAAAACGAACTCATTAAATTACTCATTAAATACCGAAATAAATAAATCATTTGATTTTGCTCCATTATTAATAATAATGGCTTTGATACTTGTGAATGTTGTTGTTGATTGTTCACTAAACTTGCTGTCCGAGATGTATTTGTTTGATTGATCATTGATAAATGTATATAATAAATAAATCATTCAATTCTGAATTTTAATTTGATCATTGCATGTGGAATGCAACAAAAAGATTTTGTCCGAACTTTACTTTATTAAGGTAGTTTAGGTTAGGGGGATGAACTGCACCGGTGGATTGTCGAACGAATATTGACGAATCAAAAATGAGTAGTTTAATTTAGTTTAGTTTAGTTTAGGTTAGGTTAGGTTAGGTGGTCTCGGTTCAATAGTTTTCTCCAAACCTCACCGAAGGTGAGGTTTGGAGAAAACTATTGTATTGACAAACAATCTAGAATAGAGATCAAAGTCTAAAATACTATAAATCGGTTCATCGGTTGAATGTATATGTATTTTATGTTCGAATACGATTCATTTTGCGCCAATTAATTTCGCTGTTTTTGTTTTTTTTGGCTATTTTCAGTATTTGGCTATTTTCTGCCTTGGCTATTTTCAGTATTTTGATATTTTTAGGGTTTGGCTATTTTCAGCCTTGGCTATTTTCTGCTTCGGCTATTTTCAGATTTGGCTGTTTTCAGTATTTGGCTATTTTCAGTATTTGGCTATTTTCAGTCTTGGCTATTTTCATTTTGGCTATTTTAACCCACAATCGAAAAAAAAAGTTGAAAATGAAAAAAAAATAAAAATTTTTGTCGTAAAGGACACTATTGTCATATCGATGATGATGATGATAACAACAACAACAACAACAACAACAAAAAAGTCTACGAATGTAAATGTTATTCAACAAGAGATGTTTTTTTTTGTTATACAAACTCGTGAATATTTTTTTTTCATGTCTCATGTCGACAACGCTTCTTCTTCTCGTGTTATCCAATTGATGATGATGATGAAAAAAAAAATCGAATAAATTCAATTGTAAAATTCAAAATGAATTGATCTCACACACACATGTTTACCGGAACCTGTATATTTTACATTCAACAGCAAAAAAATGAAACAAAATGATCTGAATCAATTTTTTCAAGTATTGATAAAATCTGCATCATCATCATCATCGTCATCATTTCATGGTCTCACTAGCCATAGAAAGAGAAAACAAACCAAAACTGAGGAAAAAAAATTTGTGAAAAAAAAACGAAAAAAGATTGTGAAAAGTTGTTTTTTTTTCACTTGAAAATTTTTTATTTTCCGGTAAATATTACCGATTTTAAATAAGAAAAAAATCTTTTTTTTGAGAAAACGAAAAAAACTTTTTTTTTTTTTTTGGACCAACCAAACCCGGCTTGAACAATTTGACATATAAAAAAAAAAAACACACACACACACACACAACTCTCACTTTTTTTTCTAATCATTATTATCATCATCATCATCATCATCATCATCAATGATGTCCATGTCCACCAACAATTTATATATATATATATATGAGATTGGTACAAATATAACAAACAACAACAACAAATGTGATGTCTACGTGTATTTTTTTTTTTTTTTTTTTGACTTTTTTTTCTTTATTTTCGATCCAATCATCATCATCATCATCATTATTTTATTTTATTTCATGATTGTGTGTGTTCGTGAATGAATGAATTGGAATGGAACAAACAATCCAAATGAAGATGATGAATGAATGAATGAATGAATAAAGGAGGATGGAAAAAAATTGTTCATTTCTCTCTCTCTCTCTCTCTCTCTTTACATAAACATTCGAATTTGAAATTTTTTTTTTTTTTTGCCCATAGCCAAACTTTATTTATCTCTTTCTCTAAGTTTTGATGATTCACGATAGCTTCTTCTCTCAAGTATTGTTTCATCCCCCCTTTCCATTACACAAACACACACACACATGGATCCATCATTCTCACCGAAAAATAACCGGGTATTTCTTTCTCAATTTTTTTTTTGCTGCTGTTGATTTCATTGTTTTCATTTATTGTCCAAATTCAATATGATTTGTACAAGATAGTAAGATCTGTATGTGTGTGTGTGTGTGTGTCTAGATCTCTTGGTGTTTGTGTGTGTGTGTTGTATTTGAATAGTTTCATAATCGAATATATGAAAAAAAATATCGATATGAAATGACATGAACTTATAAGAAGAAGAAGAAAAAAAAACCGCGTCGAAAAAAAAATATATTCACCATGTAACATCAACATTGTTCATTTTGGCTATTTCGGTTCGATGATCATCATCATCATCATCATCGTTTCTATCATTCATAGAAAAAAAAAAAAAACAAGCAAAGTGAAAACAAACCAAAATAAAACACACATTCGATTCGACATTCATTTGTTTAGGTTGTTGTTGTTGTTGTTGTTTTTTTTTCTTCTTCTTCGAAAATTCCCATAAAGGTTTGGCCATGTAACAATTGATTGTTCCGGTTCGTTTCGTTCATCTTGTTTCATGATCGATGGTCAACATTGTCATTAATAAACAATCATAATAAGTGAATGTTTTTTTTTGTTTTTGTTTTTGTTTTATTTGGTTGAAGAAAAAAAAATTATTCCATTCTATTACCATAATTATCATTATCAGCAGCAGTAGTTGCCTTCGACCCGACACTATTTATGATTGTGTCCGTGTGTGTGTGTTTGTGTATGTGATCAACAAAGAAATCTAAATTATTCATGTACATTTGATGTTTTGATGAATATTTTTTCATATTTTTTTTTCTTGTTCCACGAACAAAAATCTACATTTTCAAAACGTGAAATTTATTTGGTCACATAAAACATACACACAACATGACAACAGACATATATTTTTGTTTGTTAATTTTCAAATCGATGAACAATGGATCAATCTGATGATTATTTGATGATATGAAAACGCTGATGATCATGTATGTTTGGTGATGGTGGTGGTCATCTTATTCGTTGTCACTCAATCAATCAATCAATCAAAATATTGATAACAATAAGCAATGATGATGGTCGTTGCTGTCGTCGTCGTCGTCGTCATCATCATAAAATGAAATTAGATTTTTCATAATTTCGTTCTCCTCCCAAAACAACGTAATTGATCAGCCATCATCATCATCATCATCGTGATTTAAGCTTCTTCATCATTCTATCATCTAACGAATAAAATAACAATAACAATTAATCAATCAATAATCAATCATCATCATCATCATCGTAATCGATCAACCAGATATTAACAAATATCATTTCAAAAAAAAAAACAAATATAATTGTTCCATTTTTACCTTTCGTTGTCGTTTAATTTCCGTTTTTTTTTTATTTTATTTTTTGATTCAAACTGAGAAAAATCCAAGTTTTTTTTTCTTTATATTCATTTTGTGTATCTCATCTGTGAATGTGCGTGTTATCATAAAATTTTTTTTTTCTTCAACATTCAAAATTTGGTTAAAAATCTTTAATTATGAGATCAATAACAACAACAACAACAACAACAACAACAATGATCATATTAAAACAATGGCAAATCAATAATCGTTTACTTTACTCGATTCAGGTATTATTATTTGATTTGATTTAAATTTGGCTTAATTTTGAAAAAATTGAAATTTCTATTTTAAAAAAATCATCATCTTTATTGTGATGACATGATCAATTATATTATTTGATATATATGATAATAATGATGGATTTTTTTTCATTCTTTTTTTTGATTGTCTTTTTTTTCTATTTCTGGACGTTTTTTGCCACATACAAACGTTTGCATACAATGAAGCCATATTTGATTATGATGATACTTATGTTAAGATCTAATCAATCATCATGTATCATCAATGATAACAGCACTAATATTAATAATAATAATAATAACATCACCAATGTGACAACCAATTTGGAAATAGCCAATAGCATAAATTTGCCATCATTATTATTACCAATAGCCAAAACTTCAGATGATAATAATACAAATCAAAATGAAAGTGAACAACAATCATCAATCAAACGATTCGATTATGGTGAATCGATTGGATATTTAGATCGATATAAAAATCCAAATAGTTGGAATGAATGGAATGAAAATGGCATCTTTGATGATGATAATGATGATGAGGATTTTGGTGAATATTTTGAATCAGATAATTGGCCTGAATTTAGTCAGGCATCATCGAACCATCATATTCAACATCGACCATTTGATCAATTGCAACAACAACAAAGACCAAATAATTTTCAATCAAATTCGAATAATAATAATAATAATTATAATAATCAAGGAAATGGTAATTTTAGTCAAAGCAATGATAATAAAAACAATAACAACAACAATTTGATGCAACAAGGAAATTTTCAACAATCACAACAACATTATCAACAGAATGGTGGACCACAGGGACCTCAGTTCAATAATAATAATAATAATAATAATCAAGGACCAATGAATTATAATCAAGGGCAACCTCAACAACAACAACAACGACAACAAAATTTTAATCAAGTTTCACAGCAGCAAAATAATCAGAATCAAGGTGGAGGAGGATGGCAACAACAAAATAATCAAAATTTTAACCATGGACCATCACAACATCAAAATAATCAGAATCAAGGAGGAGGAGGGTGGCAACAACAAAATAACCAAAATTTTAACCATGGATCATCACAACAACAGAATCAACAATGGCAGCAGAATCAGAATTTCCAGCAAGGTCCATCATCAATACAACAACAACAGCAACAATCCAATAACAATAATCAAGGAAGCTATCAGCAGCCACAACAACAAAACCAGAATTTCAACCAAGGTTCAACAATGTCACAAAATCAAGAAGGATGGAGACCATTACGACAAAATCAGAATTTTAATCATGCTCCACCTCAACAACAAAATCTAGGTGAATGGCAATCGAATCAGAATTCTCAGGAAAATTCTCCACAACAACAACAAAATTATGGTCAAGGCCCCCAAAATTTTCAGCAAGGACAACAATCACCACAAGGACAATATCAAAATCAAGGCCAATTTCAGAATAATCCTAATCAACAACAATTCAATGGCAATAATCAACAGATGAGTAAGAAGACAATTCAAGCTGCTGTCATTACACATCGTCCCGTACAATTTATACGCGTACCTGCGACTCAATCACAACAAAATCGTCCACCAATGGTTTTCAATCTAACGCAAAAAGATCATGGCCCTATCGTTTTGAATGTTAAGGACATTTTTAAAACTCCACCGAAAACTCCTCCAATTTCCGAAGAACAATTCTTTGGACCATTACCACAAAATAATGTTCAACAGAATTCACAACAACAACATAATAATCAGCAGCAAAATTTTAATCAAAATTATAACCAACAAGGTGGTCAACAGAATCAAAACTATAATCAACAGGGTCCACAACAGAATTTCAACAATTCACCGATGCAGCATCAACAACAAAATCAGAATTACAATCAAGTTTCATCGACGCAGCAACAGGACCAGATTTACAACCAAAATCAAAACAATCAAAAATCCCATCAACAAAATTACAATCAAAATCAACAGCAAAATTTCAACAATGGCCCATCGCAACCGAATCAAAACTATAATCAAGGACCACAACTAAACCAAAGTCCACCATCACCGTCACAACAACAACAACAAAACTATGATGATAAATCCTTTCAACAACAACAACCTGATCAATTCTACGGATCTTCGAATCAAAATAATCATGAAACATTTGATGCAATCATACCGGAACAACCAATCTATGATGATCCACCAGTACAGCCTATGCAACAATTTTATTCACCACCACAGCAGCCATATTTCAATCAATTCAATGGAGCACCACCACCTGTAGTACCGGTAATGCCGATTCAGATGCCATTGCAAATGGCCATGCCTTTGCCAGTACCTATGGTTCAACCACAACAACAACAGAATTTTGCTAATAATAATTATCCACCAAACAATTTTAATAATCAACAACCACAGCAGCAACAGGAACAACAGCAACAACAAAAACAACCGGTTAAATCGAATAATTCGAATAAAAATCAATCTGGCAAACAGAAACATTTATTATCCAATACAAAGAATAAAAAATCAACAATTAATTTTCATCGTCGTCCATCTAGATTTCGTTCACCAATGATGAATTTACGTAATCGTTTTAATCGTTTTCATCAACAACATCGTTATCCAATGAAAGGATCACATAGTGTTAATAGTGTACGATTAGTATCACCATCAGTAGCCACTCGTCATAAAAAGAAAAAACGTACATTCAAAAAACTAGGTAAACGATTGAAAAGTTTAATGCATCAACGTCGTCGTCCATCGTTTATCGGGTAAACAACATGAATAGACATTGAAAAAAAAATATCAAAACTAATCTTGTGTAATGAACGGAAAAGCATTTATTTATTTCAATTCATTTATTTTCACACACACACACACACACATACACACATTTCATTCAATTCGATTAGATATTCGATCTATTCGGGTATATTTATTACTACAACTTGTTTTTTTATTATTATCACATCACTTGGTCATTATCATCAATGATGATTTTTTTATGTTTACTTTTATTATTATTGTAGGAATCAACGAGTTATTTTTTTTTACATTCCCATTAATATAATACAACATATAACAACAACAACAACAACAACAAACATCTTTTTTTTTATTCTTCATTGCTTCTTCTTTTGTATAATATTTCGATCTCCATTATGATTTATATATATATATTGTCATCATTATACTGATGTTTTTTCTTTTGAATGTCATCCATTCGATTTTTTTTTTCGTTGATTTTATCCTTATCATTATTATCAAAAAGATTATCTTTTTTTTTGTTTTGTTTAATATTGTGTGTTGAACAATTTTTTTTTTCAAACATCAACATTTGTTGTCATCGTTGTTGTAAATTTTCTTTTCATATTTTGATTTGATTGTTGTTTGTGAATTACATTTTTTTTTTTAAATATGTTCATTGTCAATCTTTGTGTTGTACAATATTTTTCAACAATGTATCTATTTATCTCTTTTTCTTTATGTAATGTGCGGGTGGTATTTATGTCCAGATTTTTTTTAATTTTATTTTTCATTACAATAAACATACATAAATATAAATACCGAAAAAATTTAGAACACAGCAACATTCAAATTCGTCAATCGCTGGCTATTCATACATTTATTGGTCGATCATGTCGAAATAGTATATGCACGTGTTTTTTTTTTTTTTTTTTTTTTTTTTTGAAAATATTTTACCTTGTTACAAATCTGGATTTTCTTTTTCATTTTGAATTTGATTTTTTTTCCTTCTTATTACTTAATCAAGTTTTTTTTTCTTATTTGAATTGTAATTTTTTCCGAATTGTCAATGTGGAATAAAAAATGGTAAACATTGTTTTTTTTATGTCCTCCAATGAATTCATTTATAATTTTCCTCATCATTTGATTTTGATTTCTAAATACAAACAAAAAAAAATACAATTCAATAGATTCGACGTCAACAACGGTTACGACGCGAATATTTGATTCGTAAATCTCAGGAGGAACAAAAACGAGCGATTACAGAGAAAAAACAACGTCTTAAAGATGCCCTTCAGCGTAAGTATTACGTGGTGACAATTTTGAAATTTTGTCTATTTGAATTTCAAATGTCCATCTTTTATGTTTTTTTTTTAAAAAATTCATGATTTTTTTTCACAAAAAAAAACATAGAACGAAAAAAGATTCCCACCGACCTAAAAAATGATGCATTATCATTACAAAACACGCTTGAATGGGATGACCCGGCATCCGAATTAGTTACATCACATGAAGATGATGAATATCGTTGGGCTGGTGTTGAGGATCCAAAAGTGGTCATAACAACATCACGTGATCCAAGTTCAAGATTAAAAATGTTTGCCAAAGTAATGATTATTTATTTATTCAATTTTGTTGCATAAGCCTTTTTTCACATCACATGAGAGATTTTTTTTCATCTAAAAATATCTTTTTTTTATTGTTTGTTCTATTGTCATCGATTTGTTCTGTAGGAATTCAAATTAATCATACCAAATTCACAACGAATCAATCGTGGTAATTATCATATGAAACAGCTAATCCAAACATGTAAAGCGAATAATGTCACCGATTTTATTATCATTCATGAAACACGTGGTAATCCGGATGGATTGGTCATTAGCCATTTACCATTTGGTCCAACTGCCTATTTTCAGATATTGAATACGGTCATGCGACATGATATACCTGATGTTGGTACAATGTCTGAACAATATCCACATTTAATATTCGATAATTTTAGTGGTAAAATTGGTCGACGTGTACAGAATATTCTTCGTTATTTATTTCCCGTTCCAAAAGATGATAGTAAACGTGTAATGACATTGGCTAATCAAAATGATTATATATCATTTCGTCATCATGTTTATAAAATGATTGATGGCCGTGTTGAATTGGCCGAAGTTGGACCACGATTCGAATTAAGACTATATGAAATCAAATTAGGTACGATTGATATAGAAAATGCAATCGATACTGAATGGGCATATCGACCATATATGAATACGGCTAAAAAGCGGCAATTTTTAAGTGAAAAATCAAATGATGATTCAGATAATGATGAAGGCAATGATTAATTAAAGAAAATTATTTTGTTTGTTTTACAGAAAAAAAATGTCAAATTGTATAATTCTGTTTTTATTTTTTCATTAAATTAAACAATGCACAGAATTGACAAAAATTTTCATCATTTCATTCTCACAAAACAAGGAGTGCCACAACGAAAGTTGAATACGCCCACAATGACCATACATTCATTCGTATTTTTCCACCCATTATACATGTATTAATAATAATAATAATATGGGCCTGTTGTTTTCACTGTTCTGATGATGATAATGTTTTGAATTAGTTTCAAAACCTGTTATAATAACCTGTTGATTTCATTCCTATTTTCCATGGTTAAGTTCATTTCGTGAGAAAAAAACTATAAAAAAATCTTCAGCTTCAATTAACCACCAATGACATCATTAACAAAGATAGATGATTATTGAAAACGTCTGCGATAATTAACACCACCACCACCGCCGCCGCGATAATGATGTTGATGATGATAATAACCACCACCAGTAGATCTATTGTGTTGATAATCAGTTATCGATCTAACATTATTACCGATAGAGCCAACACTGGAATTTGAAGTATTTGGACTTTGATCTTCCATTTCTCGCCGTTCATTGAAGCCAAGAATCAATTTTTTCACCTGTTCTTTTTCACGTTTCTGTGCTTGTTCACGAGCAAGGAAATTCTGTACTAGATCCGAATCGGCCGGTACTTCAATCGATCGTAATATTGGTTTATTAGATTTTTGATTTTTAGTCATCACACGGAAATTGAAACTTTTCGTTTCTGTTTCCTGTGATTGTTGATTTTTGTTATTGTTTGACATAGTCGATGGTTCCAATGAAAATAATGATGATTCATAGCCACTACCCAATTGTCGGGCTTTATTTGTATCTGAATCACGTTCGATTGGTATGACAATTTCAACATTCATACGTTGTGTTACCTCTTGTGAACGTGAGGTGAGATTTTCCATCATTAAACGTTCAAAATCACGTTGAAATAAATCATCCTCTTCACATGGATGTATTCGTAGACCACCTCCTCTACCATCATTCGATTTGTTATTTTGATTTTCATCACTATCATCACCATCATCGTCATCCTCATCATCCTCTTCCTCATCATCAATATCTTCATTACTATCTAAATCACCATCACTATCATCAGGATCGGTATTAATCATATCCGCATTATTATTATCATCATCATAATCATCTTTTTGTTCGACTGGTTTTTGCATAATTGGTCGGGGTGAACCATCACCATCATTATAGATATTACCAATACTACGATCTTCAATTTCTTCTTCATCACTATTGTCATAATCACCATCGACGCAGCCTTTACTACCGGAATTATTATCACTATTAATATCGCCATCATTATTGAGGGGATTACAATTGACATTATTATTGCCGTCATTATTATTACTATCTTTTTTTAGTAAATTTTTTTCATCATTTTTCTTTTTGTCGCCACCATTTTCATCGATTTCATTTTCAGAATCCTCTTTGATTGGTTCGAGTTGCCCATCATTGATGGGTGGTTGCATGTTTGATGAATTAGTTGATGGTGTTAATACATTCTTAATTGATACGTTTGAATTAGGTAATACATCTTTAACATTTTCAGCCAACTCTTTCAGACGTTTTTCCAATAGTTCACAAGATTGTTGATATGATTGAGCTTTTTTAAATTTTGGTCGTAAAAATTGTAAAACATCAGCAAATATTGCATCAATATAGAACAAAGCCATCTGATCGATTTGTTCAACAGGTAATGAATTTATATACGATTTTTTTAGCCAATAATAACGCTAAGAAAATTTGAAAAAAAATTATTGATGGTTAAATTTTGTTAATAATTCATAAAAATAAATTTTCTCACTTGGAAAAAGAATAGAAAAAAATCCAATTTTTTCTTAGCAGCTGGTGACATTAAAAAATGGCCACAAATATGTAATATTTGAGCGACCAAACGAAGACGCATTAAATTGAATGGTGGATCCATAGGACTTTTTCCAGCATCATTATAATCAACGCCATATATCAACAAGGAATACATTACATTGAACAATAACGTTGAATCAACAAGATTATAGTTGAAACATTCGGCAAAAAATTTTATGGTCGATATACGACGTTGATTATATTCTAATGAATTCATTTGCTTCCCAATACGAATATTTTCCAATACAGTGTCCATTACCATCAACACTGTTTGTGATCGATGTTGCGAAAGATTGGATAATAGGCTAGCCAATGCTGGAATATTATCACATTTAACTTTCCATGCTGATGCCAAAGATTGAATGGCAAATGCATTGATTTCTTTATCATTCCAATCGATACGTCGAAGTTTTTTCAATACATTCGATACAGTTTTTCGTGATAATTCTGTATAAACCAAATGTTCAATGTATTGATGCATTACAGGTTTTGTTTGTATGTTACGAGCAGCCTAGTGAAAAAGAAAATTAAAAATTTTTCAACGTCATATGTAACAAGAAATTAAAAAAAAAACACTAACCGATTTATCTTCAGGTGTAACCGAATAATATGCATTCTGTATCATTGTTTCATATCGAGTGTTAACATACATGTGATTCTTCAGACGCATCATTTGTTGTAATAATAAATTGGTCATATGATGTGATTCAGGGCAACGATATAGATAACGGCCACAAACTTCAAATAAATTACAAGTCATTTCAATGTGATGATGATGAAAATCCGATAATAGAGTCTAAATTGAAAATGATGATAATATGATTAATTAATTAATAATATATATCAAAACAAAATAGGCTTAAAAAAATTTACCTTAAGAATTTTGAGCGCTTCCGTTTTAGAAAACAAATTGAATTTGACCAATTCACCGATGAATCTTACAATTTTCACCTTACTTTCAATGTATACTTGATCTTTTTTGTAAAAATTATAACGGAATTGATTTTTAAGGCCAATACAAAGTTCGGTGGAAACACTTGGCATGATTGGTGCTAATTGAGCAACAAACCGTCCATAGAATGGTAATAAATCCAAACGGGTTCGTGGCACTCGAATCAATACATCGACCAATTTTTTTCGATTATTTTTCGTATTGAATGTCGTTGCAAAATGTAGGGCGGCTTTATCGATCAGATCACAATTAACACAATTAGGAAGACTAGAGAAATATGTATCCAGCTGATCTTTGGTTGCATTGAAATTAAATTTTACAATACGGATTTTGTTTTTATCATATTTCATTGTAGATGAATCTGGATCGACATCATCATTTTCATTCAATAATGGTACATCTTTGGGATCTGGTATAGATGTATCATCACCTGTTAATATTAGATCATCTTCTTTGGATAGGTCAAGATTTTGATCGGTTTCAATTTCAGTCGAACTACTTGCTGGTGGTAGATTTCCATCGTTTGATTCACCATTTTCTTTACCAGAAGCTTCATTATTATTCGTAGCCATTGTCGATTCATCTTTAAGACTATCTTTATAAAGCATGGCCGGTACTAATGATTTTAAATCAGGAAGTTTTTCATAGAATATTCGTGTTTCTTCATCATCCCATATGGATGGATTATTTTCTTTGAAACGATTTAGATCAAACAAAACGGCAGTTACATTTTCATTTTTCATCAACATAGTATCATTTTCCAATGCCTGTGTGTCGATATCGGGCATTTCTTCATCGATCAGATCGGCAAATGTTGTAGCTGTTTGATACAATTTTTCAAATTCAACCGATTTGGTTTTCCATTTTTCTTGTAATGCTTCAGATACTTCACCACGTGTTTCAAGGCTACGTTTCATATCGTTTTTCAAATGGAAAAGGTATTTACGATCTTTGGATATGTGTTGTATTAATGAATGATAATAATCTTTGAGTAATGTTTGAACACCTCGTTGTCGTTCCACTGAAAGAAAATCGCAAACAGGTAATTGTAATTGGAATTTTTCGGCCAACATTCGTTGACGGCGTGGATAAAGGCCGGCAAATTCTACACCATAACCACGACAGAATGCCACCAAAATGCTTATATTTTTATGTGTTTCTTTATCGGCATTCGTTAAAATTGTAAGTAAATTTCCCAACGCTGGTAATGAATCTTTGGTCGTGAAAATGCCGGATAGAATTAATTCGGTAAAGATTTTTATGTCGACTCGCATTTTCGATGCATTAAACTGATCAGAAGGTTTCCGTGGAAGATTTTTATTCCAAGCATCGAATAAATGAGCAGCAAAGTCACAATAACGAAGATGAAGAAATGAACAAATCTGTATGAACATTCCGATTTCATTGGCTTTAATTTTCGTTTCCACTAATGCCGTAGCCAATTCAGAAATGAAACGAGATAGATTAAGATTTTCTAAATCTTTCATAATGACATCTTTATTCGATTCAGTCATATTACGAATTTTCTTCACGAATGCCGTATTCTTTTTGATCGAAGTATCTAACTTGACGAATAAATCTTCATCCGGATATTCAATATTTGATACATTGTGTTCATAACGTTTTTCACGTTTCTCTTTATATCTTTCAGACAATTCTTTGATATATTCTTGGATCGATTGTTCTTCTTGTTGTTGTTGTTCTTTATCGTTTTCTTCGCTTTTATTATTATCATCTTTATCATTATTTTTGTTTTCTTCGCCATGATTAACTGTTTCTTCTTGTTTTTCTTGATTCGTTGCCGAATTATCGGCTTCATTTTCTTCACTTTTTTGCATCGTTGTCACCACCATCAATATAATGATATTAATCAAATCAAATCAAAAAAATATTTTGCTTCCAAAAACAAACTAAAACTTGATAACAAAACCACCAGAGAAAAAAATGTATTAGCCAGCAATTTAACCATCGAACGATCAGACAGTTCCAAAACAATCATCAATCAATCAATCAAATGATTTTCTCTTGAATTTTTTCAATGTTGTTATTGACCAATTAGAATTATATCGTATCTATCAATGGATAATAAATGAGAAACAAAAATGATTATGATACGTTATGATAATCATCGAAAATTGACAAATACCGACCTTGGTAAGAATGAACATTTCAAAATTTTTATCACGTTTTTATTTCTTTGTTTTTGCTGCTCATACACCGAACACATTCACATACGAACAAACACAAACACACAAAAGTCACAAAACACTGAACCTTATAGAATAATTTGTTAAATTTTTTTAATTATATTTTGCCACTCAAAATATGACCACAATGGAAACGAAATTTTTAAAATTCAAAACAATCAAAATTTCAACTTTAATCCAATGATGAATCAGCAATTTAAATGTGAAACATTTAATTATCCACGTGAACGATGATGTAAATTTCGATAATTCGAAATACCACACACACACACACAAAAAACACACGGAGAAAGAGAATTGATAGTGTAAAAAAAAATCAGTCAACACTTAATCAGTCATGGCTGCAAACAAAAAAAAATTCCATCCATATTTATACGATAAAAGTTATCCATTGATATATTTGAAACATATAAATTGAATAATTAAAATTTTATGCCGCTTTTTTTTGCAAAGATTTTGACCATCAGATGACGCTATCGGTATCACTGTTGTTATTGGATGATGATGATGATGTTGATGTTGATGATGAGGAATGATGCTACGACGACAACGGTGATAATTTTCGAGATGTTGAATGTTGTTGATTTCTGATAAATTGCAATAAATTAATCCATTTTTAGCATCAACAATTATCATTATCATCATTGTATATAATCACATTAATTTGGTATTTTTTTTCCCTAAAATATTTACATTTAATCACAACAGTTTGTACTCTTTCATGTGTGCGTGTGTGTGTGTATGTTGTGATTGTTGATCAACAGAATTCGCAATTCTGTGTCCCAAAAATAAACAAGACGTAGCAATATATAACAACGTTTATAATGATTGTATTGAATTGAATTTAATTGTATTGTATTGGAAAAACAAATAATGATGATAAATGATAAAGATTTGGAATTTTTTCTCATGAAAATTTTAGCTAATATTGTTTCAAAGTGTTCAGAAAAAAGAGCAACGTTTTTCAAAAAATGAAAATATTGCTAATTGAAAATTGTTTATTGAAAATCGATTTTTGGATGAATAATCAATCGAAAACCATCTTCTTCTACAATATCAATAATAACAACAAATTTGCAAATTTTAATTTATTATATTGGCCGAAAATTTCATCAAAATTTCCAATACCATTGATTGTTTGGCATTCATTATTTGGCCAAAACAATAAATGGAATTTTGGTATCGTTCATCGTGTATCAAATATCGATATCGTATCGAAAAATTTATTCAATTTCATTCACAAACAATACAGATTGAAAAAAATTTGTTTGAACGGCGACGACAATGCCTTTGGACATAGAATCTTTCCAACAGATTCTTACGTACGTATTTTCGATGATTTTGTTTGGAATTCTTTTTTTTTAACAAATCGTTTCGTTTTATTGAATTTAGATTTTTGTTTGATGAAAGCCTACAATCCAGACAATTTGTATATATTGCTCAGGCATTTCGTTATTTTCTACAACGATTAAAACATGAACAATTACAACAGCCATCATCATCATCATCAAACAATGGTGATGATGGTAATGATGAGAAAAAGGAGTATAGATTTAAATTTGAAATCGGACGATTTATAGTACAATTATTATTCCATCATTCCGTATTGTTGCCGAAATTTTCACAAAAAGTCATTGCATTATATCTATTGTATGATCTTTATAATTGGCCGGTAAAAATTTACAATCCATTCAACGGTATCATCTATGATATTCTTGTAAGTGATTCTCAATATAATTAATTCTTTAGATTTATTTATATTTTTTTGTTCATTATTCTTCACACCTCATAGAATATTTCAACATATAAAAGTAGTGCAATCTACTTTCAATTCATTCATGATTTTCAAAAATTTTTTAAAGAAAAATTTCAAAATTTTCAAGATGAAAATCTAACATTTTTTGAAAATTATTTCGACATTATCGATAAATTCGATCTATTAATGGAACGTCGCAATTTTATTGAATCATCATCTGGAATTGAAAAAAATCTCATTTGTGATTATCATACAAATTCGACTATATTACATACAAAATTACAGGTACTATCGAAACATATAAAAAAAGTTATCCGTGAAAGGCTAGAAATTCGTGATATTCTAAGAAATTCGGATTTTGCTAAAATGTATGATTTTATTGAAAGAATATCCACACAACAACAACACCAATCATTAACGATCAATCATAATGAATCGAGAAATGATAATGAAAATTTTGATAATTTTTCATTGATCGATGTTAATATCAATAAAAACAACAATAATACTCATAATGTTGATGATAACGGACAACAACAGCAACAACAACCACAGCAGCTATTACAAGATCCATTGTATTCGACACTGTGCATTCCGAAATATTTTATGGATAATTTCGAGAAACCAGTTGCCGTCGATATTTATACTGTTTTTGAATTTCCACAATTACCCACCATTGCCAAGAATTATTTCATCAGTCTTTATATAATTGTTGATGAACTGTCCCGACAAGAGGTATTTTGCATTTTTGATGGTTTTTTTTAGGTTTTAATCAAATCCTTTTTTTTCTTTTTAATTTTAAAAAATATAGTTCTTAAAACTAAGTCCAATGGATATTGTTAGCTGTGATTTTCTACCGCAACAAGTTTCTGTAATGAAAAGATTTCGTAAAAAATTTTTCGGTGAAAATTATTGCTTTTTACAACATTTAATTTTCGAAAGCATTTATATGAAACAATTAAAACAACAACAACAACAACAACAGTTTGTCGAATGTTCATCTAGTGGCCAAAATTCTACCTCAACAACAATGTTATCTTCTGAACAGCCAATCATAATGAAACCGATAACAAAAACCGAATTTCTTTCATACATAGAACTGTTAATGGATAAATCATGTCTGTATTATTTTCCCTTTTTTCCATCGATCAAAAATGAAAATGAACATTTTGATTTGTAAGTTTTTTTAATATTTTTTTCATTTCAAATCTAATTATTTTCTATTTTTCATTATAATAATATATAAAATAGTGATGATCCGAAAGAGAAGACAAATACTTTATTGAAATCATTGCTTAAATCAAACTATGATATTGATGTGGAATATTTTCTGGATAATAATCTAGTCAATTATTATAATAATCAACATGCTAATCATATAAACTCATCACAATCATTTGAACATTTTTTTCATCATCATCATCATCATGTCAATAATAATGATAAGAATAATTCTTCATTGATCGAGGTATGTCATCACATGTGGTTATTTAACATTTCAATTATTTATTCATTCTTTTTTTTATAAATATATAGCTTCCATTTAATGTTGTTGATGGCGATAATAATGAATGGCAACAATTTTCTCTGGTCAATAATAAAGATGATAATAATAATATGAATAATAATAATGATAATGGTAAAATTGATAATGATGGAACCATCATAATTGATTCGAATGAAATTGATGGCAATAAAGCCTGTAATGAAGATGAGAATATTACGAATCTACTTAAAAAAGCTTGTCAACAATCATTGACAATGTCTGAAATGAAATCTGTTCAATCACAATTGAAAACAATACCATCATTATCATCATCATTGTTGTTGTTAAAATCTATCTTAACCGTTGTTGATCCAACCAGTCTACCTGGTTTGGTGGAAAATAATCCAAGTATTGCGCACGAATTATTACCAATATTGATACAACAATCTCCACTAAAAAATTTTTTACCATCCACAATATCATCATCATCATCATCATCAACATTGATAAATGAAAATAAAGATGAAATCATCATTACAATGTCCAACATACGTGATTATCTTGCTGCATTAGTCGATATGGATACATCACTTCATTCAATTGAAGTGGTTAATAAATTATCTACACAGCTATTATTACCAGAAGAATTTACCTATCGTTATATAACGAATTGTATACGTACATGTGAAAATATTAAAGATCGTTATCTACAGAATCGTCTTGTACGTTTAGTATGTGTATTTCTAACGGCATTGATTTGTAAAGAAATAATTGATGTAAGAAAAATTTTCTTTGAATTACAAGCATTCTGTATTGAATTCTCACAGATACGTGATGCAGCAACATTATTTCGTCAGCTAAAACAATTGGAAACACCACCAAATGATTCATCTTCAACAACAACAACAACAACGATGATAACCACTACATGTTCAAATGCAACAACAGCAGCATCATCATCATCATCATCGTCATCGGCTGTTGGTGATTTTCAAATATAATCTTTATTTTTAATTTAATTGTTGATTATAATTTTTGTTGATGATAATGATAAAATGTTCGATATAAATAAAATTTGTACAAAAAAAATTATAGTTTATAGTACGTATAAAATGAAATAAATATACAATATAAATTCATCATGGTCTTAATGGTTTTAGGCCCAATTTTGCTCGTAATGCATTCATTTCGGCAATTTCATCGGCTTCGGTTTTAGGTTCTTTGGATTTTTCCTGTTCTCTATTTTCTTTTCTTTGATCTTTACGATGATGATGATGATCACGGTTACGTTTTTCCGGTGTACGAGATCGACGACGATGATCATAACGTTCACGTGATGATGACCGTTGTCGTCGTGAATGATGGCGATGAGAATGACGATCATTGTCATAATCATCATTATCATTATTACGTCTATGGGAGCTTGTTGGTGGTGATGATCCATGATAATGTCGCCGTCGACGATCATCCCCATCATCATTATCGACATGATGTGAACCATATCGATCTGGTGTTCTCGATCGTCGTTTCTTATGACGACGACGTCGATCCTCATCATCCGAATCGGTTGATACTTTTCCATCCGATTGATTTTTACCATCATCACTGTTACCATCATCATCATGATTGGCATCAAGATCCAAATCTTCTTCAATCAAACTAACACGTTTAGTTAATTCACCATTTTCTTCATGCACAAAACGTTTAGTTAAACGTGGCAATATAATATCAAATACACGATCTTCACGAAGTAGTAGATCAATAAATTCATCCATATAGATGACATCGAATGCTATTAAATAAAATTTTCTTTAATTTTTATCAAAAAAAAAAAAAAAAAACAAGAACAATAATACTTACTGCCCATTTTAGTCATACGACGTAATTTTCGATAATCATTATATAATGGTTCAAGATATTTATAAATATCCAAAGGATTTCCCACTAATCGTAGATAAAATGCACCTAATGCACGAATATATTTGAAATTTTCCTGCCGTATAAATTCAATGACAATATCTTTTTCAGGTTGTATCTGTAGTAATTTCAATGTCAAACATAAAAACGGTGTGGTTTTAATGTTACCACCATATGATCCACCAATGTAACGTAATTCTGATCCTTTATCGACAACAAGTTCGGCTACAATTAAATAAAAGAGTTGAATAAAAATCAAAAAAAAAGAACAAATAAGCAATGTTTTGAAAATTTACCTGTTAGGCCGAAACATTCTTCTTTCCAATAACGACTTTCATAAATTCGTGCACGGATAATTTTTTCAATCAAATATTGAGGATTAGTTCCATGAACTGTTATAGCATCTTTGACCGTTTTATTGGCCATGATTGTTGAAAACTTTGAAAAACAAAATTTATTATTTTCAAAAACAATAACATGTGCTATAGAATTTGCAAAGTGAATGATACAAAAAAAAAATACTCTATCCACAATAATCGATAGTATCGATACGGCCCTCACCATCCAATCTACTTTCAGCAGGTTGGCATTGTTTCCGTTCATCAAAACTTGTGTTTGTTTTTTTTTTTTTTTTTTCATTAAAATTTTGAAATTGTGAAATTGTACCCTATGAAAAACAACAAAAGATTTTCAACAAAGAAAAATTTCATTTCATTGATCTGGATCTATATGTGAGATTTTTTTTTTACAAATTATCAACTCTATTGTGTCATATAAATATGGTGAGTATGAAAAAAGCAAAACAAACATAATCACAATATATAATACGATTCCAGATTCGAATTGATTTAAATTTACAAATTTCGATTCAAAATAAAATGGAATGAACAGAAAAAAAAATTTACATATTCTTTGCGACTATTTTCAAAAAATTCTTTTTTTTCACCATTGAATTATTCAACTGCAAAGCTCGTTATGAATGTGAAAATTTTATTTATGTGTCTCTTCTAAGTATTCGAAAGGATTTGAATTCCAACAACAACAAAAAATTTATTCGAAACCAAAAAAAAAAGAATCCAACAAAAGTATGTATAGCCATTTCTTAATGGATGGAATTTTGCTCTGATGAATTTTATTCGATTTTTTTTCCATTCCATTTTATAGTCTTTTCTATTCATTTATTGTGGTTTCGCTTCAATTGATCAGCATGGCTGGGTTCAGGATAATTTGCCATAAATCTTTGAACAATTTCGAATATTGAAATAATAACAAATACCAATAACAACAACAACAACAAAAATGTACTGATTCCAATTGTTTAATTATAGATATAAATTTTTTTTTCTTATTCCCGGCCATGCATCGCTGAGAAAAGATTTTTTTCTCTTTTTTTTGGTAAAAGAAGAAAAACCAATCGCAATATCCGAAACAAATGATGATAATGAATAATAACTAAAGAACAATGCTAATAAAAGATTGATATCAGTCAGAAACAACCTTCTGTACAATGATTAGAGAAATGTTGAGAAATCATATAGAATATAGAATGTTTATATGTCGAATGAATCGAAACAAACAATGAATGAATGGCGAATGAAAACAAAAAAATCGAAACAAAGAATAAAGAAGAATTTTTTTCGAATAATCTATTTTGCAATTAGTAAGAATTTGAGATTTTTTTTTCTCTTTTTTCTTCTTCTTCATTCTGCTTTTTTGTTTGTTTGTTTCCCTCTCTTTCTCTCTCTCTTTCGACCTCGTAACTTTCTCCTTCTTTATTTCCATATATAGTATATTTTATTTTATTCTTTCAATTTTAATAATTAATTCTCCCTATAGAGATAATTCCACTTGATAAGGATTCACTTTCCACCAATTTATTTGAAAATTATAGAACGAATAGCCAGAATGAGAGAGGCAGAAAAAATGGCTCAAAAACCATGGACTACCGTTTTGGTTCATTAATTACCGAAAATGTTACATAGTTGTTTCCCATCTCTCTTCCTCTCTTTCTTTCGGGTTATTTATATATTCAGACGATATTTCCCAGGCAAAATTAAAATTTTCTATATTTCTCATGAAAAAAAAAAAAAAAATTAGATGATGTTTATGGGGCGTTAACACGAAACGAATAAAAAAAAAACAAAACCGAAAAACAAAATCAATATATTATCATAGAACACATGTTTCATATATACACATACACACACCTATATAATAAATGATAAGACTTTCTGAATGAAATATAAAAAAAAACATTCATTAAGGCATAGAATATTTCAGTTGACAAAAAAATAAAAAAAATGCAACAAATCAACACACACACACACACAAAAAAATGATTTTATTACGCCCATCACTTGTGATAATAATGACAGAATTTCAAATATTCTTTTTTTTCTCAAAACGATTACGCAATACTCCCACTACAAAACATACGCCTATTACAAATACCCAACACACACACCTAAATTAGGGCCCTATGTGGCTAATAAATATCATATACAACAACAACACTAATGATAACGAGCACTGTGTGTGTGTTTTTTTTTTTGTCTTTTTCATTGTTAAAAACAGAATTCCATTGAATTTGAAATCGTATGATGGTGTGTGTGAATGGCGCCAAATCATAAATGTTCGAGCTCATCTCACACTCATGGGCAACTAACTGTTCTGGTTTAGATCATCAACTAACTAATAAGCAAGCGTACCAAAAATTCTCTGTTTCATTTCTTTGATTTCTCACTCTCTCTCTCCCTCTCTCTCTTTTTTTCTTTTATAAAAACTTATGAAAATGAAAAAAAATGCCTTAGTCAAGAATTTGATTTTATTCGCGATTCATAAAATCATCAATAAAAAAAAAGAATAATCATCGACCATCGTCAATCAATTGAATGTTTTTCATTGTGATAAATAAATGTGCTGTTTTTTTTGTTTATATCATCACATCTATCACATCAATGTTCAGCTTTTAAAAAACAAAAAACCTAAACGACAAAGTTTTTTTCTTCAAATTTCCTTTTTCTTTTCGTTTATTACATCGAAAAAAGTGATGTTGATCCATCATCATCATCATCAACATAAACATAAATGTTCGATTTAAAATATTGGATTCCTCATAAGACAGGTAGGTGTGTGTAAACATATATTTTTTAAATTTTATTCATTCCTATCAAATTCTATACGGTAGAATAATATTTTGTCCCAATCCAATTGCACAATCCATATATTTGGTCATATGCAGAAAAAAATGAATTGAAATTTTCCATTGAAATCAATCAATCAATTTGTCGAATATTAAATAGTAATATGAATAGTGAATGATCATTATTCGTTTGTATTTTTTTCGTGTACATCGGTTTTAATGTTGCAATTTCTAAATTGAAAAAATTCTTTACAATTTGTATTTATATAGATGGTCTTTCTTCTGTTAGTTGATCCATTTATTCATCCAATTTTGATCATTATGATGATGATGATGATGAAAGAGGAATAATTTTATTCATCTAGGTCTGGTCTGTTTTATTTTTCGCCATTTTTTCTGGACCCAGCTGGTACAATTATTATTATTATTATTGTCATTGTCGTTGTTGTTGTTCATATTTATTAACATCATTTATAATAATGATAATAAAGGTTTCCATTCATATGATAATTTGATGATGATGATGATGATAATTTTTGTTGTTGTTGTTGTTGTTGAATACAAATGTTTGAATATCGTAATAGAATTTCATTTCTCATTTATTGTTGTTGTTGTTGTTGCTGCTGCTGCTTTTTTTCTGCTTCTCTTTTCAAAATTCATTTGCTTTTGGATAAGGAGAAGAAAAAAAAATGGAAATTTATTTTGACCACCATCATCATCATCATCACCATCATTTAATGATTATTATTATTAGGTTATTATTATCATTGTCATCATCGTCTAATGTGGCCATTTTTTTCAGATGTTCATTTATTGATTATCATCCATATGAATTCAGAAAAAAAACTGTATGTCTTTGCAATCAGAAGATATTGTTTTCCTAGTTAGCTGTTTTGCGTTTGATATCACCATTTTTTTTTGGGGTGTTTACAGATTCATATGTTGTTCAGAATTATAACCTGATTATATTTCTCAAGGATTCTTATTCTGGATATTCGGTTGCCATGTTGGCAGATTGTATGTCTCCTTTTTTTTGATTTATTACCACACACACACACACATTTTTTTATAATAATCAACACACGAATTACATTCTTTCTTTTCTTTTCTTTACTTTTTTTTTGCTTTTTGGAATAATTTTTTTTTTTTTTTTTGCCCAGATTTTTGATATTTTGTTTTCTGTTTCTCGTTTTGCATATAATTCATAGGAAAAAAATAATTGAATAAATATGTTGTTGATGATGAAATTCAGAAAAATTCTGAATTGAATTTCGTAATTTTGATTTTGGATTTTTTTTTTTTCATTCTTCATTTATGATGACAATCAGAATTAGACGAAAAAAAAAATGAAAAAGTTATTAATAATTGTGTTCCATAAAACAAAAGAAATATATGAAAAATTAATAAATTACGACATGCCAACATTGTAATAGCAATTCTTTTCATTTCATTTCATTCATTTCATTTGCTTTGTTCAACTAATCATCATCCGAATTTATCATCGTCAGGGATAATGATTGTCTCGAATCAAAACTTTTTGATTCAATTCTTTTTTCTTTTCGCCAGATTCTCACTATTTGTTCAGGATTATTATCGTTTGTTTTGTGTGTTTGTGTGTGTGTGTTATGAAATATATGCAAAAAAAAAACTATCAGCCACGTCAATTTTTTGATTGTGATTGTAAAAAATTTCTAATGAAATTGATGAAGCAATGAGAAATGGAATTGAATGAATATAAATGAACTGTGTATTGAAACAAATTAAAACAAAAATTTTTTTTTTTGTGAAGAATCAGAAGAAGAAGGAATCAAATTTTTCCTATTCACAATTGTAAATGAATTGATCACGTTATATATATTTTTTTTCATCACGAGGTTTGATCTGAATATCAATTGTCGATCATTATGATGATTGAAATTCACTGTTTAAATGCCGAATGACTGAGAATAGAAAAAAACAATTTTTGTTTGTACATTTTTTTTTCCGGTCGGGATTTCTCATAAATTAGGTCCGAAATGAAACAGCCTTCCAGAATTGAAAAATAAGAAATGGAAAAAAAACATCAAAATTCATTAGAATCATTGCGATGTATATGCCAATTTATGTATATTAAACACACATCCATCACACACACACACACACACAAATATTTGTGAACATTAACATTGTGTGTACACAAGTCATAATGAAACCTGGGAGAATATTCCAGTTTTCATTATGAAATATAATCGGAAAAAAGTGGTTTTGAAAACAAAAATATGATGATACACACACACACACACACACACACACTAACCAGTAATCACCGTTGGTAATAAAAATCATTAGAAATGGAAAAAAATCTGGCCCACACTTTTTTTTCATACCTCTCTACTATTCAATCAAAGTTGATGTATTCAATGTTCAGTGTGTGTGTATGTGTGTGTGTGTGTGAAATTAATTCATTTTATTCATTCATCACTCTACAAGTGTGGAGAAGGGAGGCTTGATAAATTTTTAATTTTTAATCATGATGTTGATGATAAAAATGACGACGACAGAAACTTTCAATCCAGTTGTAATGAGCATCCGACAATTGATGGATAATTTTTTGGAAATTCTTTTTTTTTCGTTAATACAGAATTACGGACGATAATATTCTTTTTCAAATCATAATGATGATGATTATTATTATTATTAAATGGCCATATGGGAGATACTTTTTTCTTTGAAGTTTGTATGAAAAGTTTCAATATTCGTTTTTTTTTTTTTTGAACGAGAAACAACCAAACCAAAAAAAAAAGTTTTTTTTTTGCCTTTCCATTTGCCTGCCTGATAATGATCCAGATGGTTCATGATTCATCCGATTTGAGATTATCGGCTTGACATTTTTTTTTCTTGATGAAAATATCAATAATTTATACAATGAAATAATTTTAGATTTTAATCCGAAACTGGTTATGGATTGGAAACCGAGAATTCAGAAAGAAAAAAATTATAAAAAATGAAATCAATTTTTTTTGTGTATTTTCACAGGTTTTTTTTGGGTTTGTTTAAAATTTAACTCTCTCTACAAATATTCATAACAACTGTGGGATCAATTGTTTTTCATAGAAGAAAAAAAAAAAAAAAACAAACAGACAGACGGACAGCTATTCCATTTCATCTTCGAATACAACAATGGCAAACGACAAACGGTGAAAAAAAAACAAACAAACAAACGACAATGACACAATTTTTGTTTGTTTATTAAAACATTCCAATAATATAATCATATGACCATTCGTTCGATATATAAATACAAAAAAACACACACACACACACACAAAACATTCTTAGTACTAAATTTTTCTTCATCATCATCCATTCTCATTATTATTCTTTGTTGTCTTTTGTTGTTGTTTTTGTTGTTGTTGTTGGATATCTGGAACTAAGACGTAAAATAATAATAATGAAAATAAAGAGAGACAGAGTAAGAGAGAGAGAAATAACCAGAATTCCAGAAAATCCAGAAAAAAAAAAAAATCTTGGGCGTGTTTGTGTGTATTGTTTTCATTTCAAATGTTTTTTAAACTGTTGAATAATACATGAGAATGATTGTCTGTGTGTGTGTGGGTGTGTGTGTGTTTTTATATGAATAATTCGTTGTTTGAATAACATAGAGACGGATCTTTTTTTTGGAAATTCATTTTTTGATTCAAGAATTTAAAGAATTTCTTTGTTTTGTTTCTTGAAAAAAAATCAAGATAAAAATTGAAATACTAGAAAAATAATCACAGAAATCACAAAAAAAACAACAACAACAACAAAAGAATTGCAAGAAAAGTTAAATTGTATTTTAAAATCTTCTGTCATCGATGGCAGTATAATGATATTCAATATTTTCAGTTTTTCTGTTCATTGTTTTGATTATTTTAAATTTTCAGTTTAGATAAAATGAAAAACTAATGTTTAAAAAAAATGGCGCAAACTCAAACCGAACAAAATCGAAAACAACCACCATCATCATCATCATCATCATCATCAACCACACAAAATGGTCATCAAATATTGAATATTTCATCACCACCACAACAACAACAACAATCAACGCAAAATCCGATTACAGTTCCATCATTTGATTATCAATTAATTAATGTTAATATAACTAGTTCATCACCACCGGATAGTGATGAAAATAATCATCAACAAGAACAACAACAAATTAATCATAATCATTATAATAATAATCATCATCATCTTATTAATCATCCAAATTCAATGATCGATACAAATGATGATCGATCATCGGATTGTTCATCATCATTAGGTGAACATTCAATTATGATAACAACACCAAATAAATTAACAATAATACGTGCAAATAGTGCAAAAAATCCAACTTATAGTTCTGGATATCGTCGATCAAATCTATCATCATCATCAAGTGGTGGTGGTGGTGGTGGTGGACGAACATCACGTAAATCATCAACAATTATGTTTCAAGAACCTCATATAATCAAAAGACCAAATTCCACTATTGGTATTCCTACCTCAATGGTAAGTTTATTTAGATGATTTAAAAAAATAATTTCGGAAATTATACTCCTATTAAATGTGAAAAAATTTCTTGGAATTGCTTGTTTGTTTAAAATTCAAAAAAATATTTTTCCTCTAAATAATCTGCTATTTTTGGATTTTTTGAAGCGAGATTCTTTTCTGAATACAACTGGCACTAAACAACAACAACATCAACAGCCCCAACAACAACAACAACAGATACGACGTATGTAATCTGTTAATAATCAAACACAACTAAATATATTGATAATAATAATGGAAATTTTTTTTCTCGATAACATTAGCAACCAAAACAACAATAATAGCACCATTGGTAAATAATTCGCATCAATTTCCTATCGAACAAACATTAACAACAACAATGACTACGACAACAACAACAACAACAACAATGACAATTACACCGGAATCGGATATATCCATAGCACAAGGATTTAATCCGGTTATACGTGAAAAAGCATCATCATTAACATTACCGGATTTACAATTACAATTTTTACGTAAAGGTTCTTCAAATCCATTCATAACGACAACATCCAATGCGTCCGGTACGGTTTTTTAGTTTTGTTTTTTGTTTTATTTATTTCAAAAATCATAATTCAATCGCAATATCCCTTGCTAATTTTGTTTTCTTCTTTTTTTTCTACCTTCCAATTAACTTTCTTTCAGATGTAAAGCCATCTTTATTATTATCATCAACATCAAATATAAATAATAATCATAATCTTCATAAATATCATCATCATCATCATAATAATGATTGGTCAACAAATCAATTATCTGTTTATGAATATCCAAATAATAATAATAATAGTAATACAAATCCATTATTAGCGAATAATATTGATGGTATTGGTAGTTGTGGTTCCGGTGGTGCTGGTAGTAATAGCGGTGGTGGTGTTGGTGGTGGTTGTGGTGGCGGCCGTTTATTGAATAGTGCATTAAAAACACGTGGATCAACAATATCATTGATGACAAATCATCGTTCATCATATATAGGTGAAGAAGAACATTATCATTTACAGCAACATTATTTTGCAACAACTGGCCGTAAAGATACAATAATAAGTATTGGAAAAAATTTTCAAATACAATTTAAAAGCCCTTCAACACATTGCCTTTCATGGCGTTATCGTACTGGTTTAGAAAAATTTCTTATATTTCTATTATTTGCATCGATTATAATATTACTAGCTTATATTTACATTCCTTATTTATATGGTAATTGTAAGTGTTTGTTTGTGTGTGTGTGTGTGTGTTATTTTTCTGGATTTTTTTTTCTTTTAAATATTTTTCTTTATTTTTTACATTTATATAGCTAATGAAATACAGGTCTGTACATCGATGGAATGTGTGAAAACATGTATGTGTTTATCAATGATTTTGATTTTGATTTTGATTTTTGTTGTAAAATGAATTTCATTTTATTTTTCTTAGCCGCATCATTATTGAGTGCAATGGATCTGAATGCAGATCCATGTGAAGATTTTTTTCAATTTGCCTGTGGTAATTGGGTAAAAAAACATATAATACCAGAGGATCGATCCAGTTTGAGTACATTTGAAGTGATGGCCGATGATTTACAAATTATACTGAAAGGTAAATATTGTTGGATTTTTTATTTTTTGAAAATTTCGAAAACACAATTCCATTTCCATTTTCAATTGGAATGAATATTGATTTTTTTTTTGGTTTTCATTCTTTTCTTGTTTTTATACAGATTTATTGGAACAATTGCCAAACAGTGCGGATAATAGTGCAACATTGAAAGCAAAACGTTTCTATCAATCCTGTATGAATATACGTAAGTGTGTAAATATTTAATTCTTAACGATGGCAATGGAATTATATATTCTTATTCCAAAGAATGTATTCAATGTGCGAATATTATTATATATTCGGTAATTCTTTTCAATAACCTTACAAGGAATCAGTTACAGATAGTACAGGTCAATTGAAAATATTGTTGTTGGTCATTTGAGTTGCTTTTGATTGAATAAATACATTGAACTGTTTCTTTGTAATTAAAATTCTTAATCAACTTAAGAATGTTTCCGTGTAATAAATGAACTTTGGTGTGTGTGTGTGTGTGATAATCTTTTTTCATTGATTTCATCATTTGATCAATTTTCATTTTTTTCGCTATAAATATAGAAAAAATTAATCAAATTGGCGTACAACCAATATTGGATGCATTACAAGAAGTAGGTGGATGGCCAGTATTAGATCGTAATTGGAATGAAAAACGACTTAAAAAAACGACTATCTCGATGACATTGCAAACAAAATCTTTATTGTTAGCATCTGCATCGGGAGTTATATCATCATCATCATCACCATCATCATCAGCAACATCATCATCTTCATCGTCATCTTCATCATCATCATCATCGTCATCATTATTATCGACATCAACAAAAATGACCACTACAAATGATCAATATATGGATTTAACATTGGAAAATTTATTGGGAAAATTACGTGGTGATTATAATCAACCAATTATTGTTGAACAATATGTTGGTCCGGATGATCGAAACTCATCATTAAATATAATACAATTTGATCAAACTAGTCTTGGTTTACCGAGTCGTGAATATTTTCTAAAAGAACAACCAAACAAAGAAAAAGATGCCTATCTAGAATTAATGATTGATATTGCCGAATTACTTGGAGCTGATCGTGATTATGCTACGGAAGAGATGACAAAAGTTTTAGAATTCGAAACACAACTTGCCAATGTAAGTTGAAAAAAATGAACAAATTAAAAGTTTTTTTTCAATTTAAAATTTTTTTCTTTTACTATTTTTCCTGTCATAAATTAAATTAAATTATATCATATTTAGTCATCAATGCCTGAAGCTGATCGTCATGATACCAGTGCAATTTATAATAAACGAACTATAAAACAATTGAAACAATTAGTACCGGAATTTGATTGGATGGTTTATTTGAAAAATTTTATGCCCATAGATATTGATTCAAACGAAGAGGTGGTCATCTATTCATTGGATTATTATCAACAAATGGGTAAATTATTGAAAAGAATCATGTCTGAAGATCGTCGTATTATAATCAATTATGCTGTTTGGCGATTAATGAAAAGTATATTACCATTTTTGGATAATGAATTCGGTGTGAAACGAGCAAAATTTCGAAAAATTTTATTCGGTTAGTTTGTGTATGAATGAATGATTCAGGTCATTTATTAATTCATTTATTCATGCAAATTTTCCTTTTTTTTTGTTATATAGGAATATCGGCTGATCGTACAAGATGGAGTCAATGTGTTGAATTGGTGAATAAAAAAATGGGTATGGCTGTCGGTGCATTATTTATACGTGATAATTTTGATCCAAAAAGTAAAGAGATTGCCATTGAAATGATACATAATATACGTGAAGCATTTAATGAATTATTGAATTTTAATAATTGGATGGATAATGAAACAAGACAAGTAGCCAAAGAAAAAGCCGATGCTATTAATGAACGTATTGGCTATCCAGAATTGTTGACTAATCCAATACAATTGTCAAAGGAATATAATTTTGTAAGTTTTTTATTTTGAAAATTTTTTTTATTCTGAATTTTTTTTTTTTTTTTTTTTTTTTTTTGATACAGCTTGAAATACATGAAGATAAATTCTTGCAAAATATATTGAATGTATTTCGCTTTGAGGCATATAAAAATCTAATGAAATTAGGAATGGCCGTAGATAAAGATAGCTGGACTACCGATCCAGCCGTTGTGAATGCATTTTATAGCCCGAATAAAAATGATATTGTCTTCCCTGCTGGTATATTACAACCATTATTTTATTCACATTATTTTCCCAAGTGAGTATATTGAATTTTCATTTCATCATATAATAATTTATTTATTTATATTCACATTCATTTTTATGGAATGTCGATGTATAAATAGATCATTAAATTATGGTGGAATCGGTGTTGTAATTGGACATGAAATAACGCATGGTTTCGATGATCGTGGTAGACAATTTGATAAAAATGGTAATATGAAACAATGGTGGAATAATCGAACAATCAAACGTTTTCGTGAACGTGCACAATGTATTATTGATCAATATTCAAGCTATGTATTGGAAGATATTAATGCTAATGTTAATGGCCGTATGACACAAGGTGAAAATATTGCCGATAATGGTGGACTGAAACAGGCATATCGTGCATTTAAAAAATGGGAAAAACGTAATGGTATTGAACCATTATTACCTGGCCTAAATCTAACACATGATCAGCTTTTTTTCCTAAATTATGCTCAGGTTAGCTAACTAATATTCATTGTTATTTTTCATTCAATTTTTAATTGTTGAAAAATTCTCACTTTCATAGATCTGGTGTGGATCAATGAGACCAGAAGATGCATTGAATAAGATTCGATCATCCGTACATAGCCCTGGACCTATTCGGTAAATTACTCGATACTTGTTTGTTTGCATATGGAATTTCATTAATTTATCTTGTTCTTTTATTTTCAATAATTCAATCAAACATCAGTGTACTTGGACCATTATCGAATTCATATGATTTTTCCAATGCATATAGTTGTGAAATTGGTAACCGAATGAATCCGATTAAAAAATGTACCGTTTGGTAAATGGAACCAAAAAACAAAAAACAAGACATTTATCATCAATTTTTTGTTTGTTTTTATTATTATTAATTCATCATCATCATATTGTTGTAATCATTATTTTTATTAACAGCAAAGAAAAAAAACGATATTGTAAAGAACTTTTTTGTTATTATTGTTATATTGTTTGTTGTCAATTTGATTTGATTTGATTGAGTTTTCTTCATTCCAATCATTCATCACCAATTATTCACCCATTCATTCACACATATATACGATTAACTTGTATATTCAATTCAATTTTATTGCAATTTTTTCGATAGAGGTAAAAAAAAATTATCATTATTTTAAATCTTAACGATTTCTGGATACAGCTCGAGATGGCATTGTTGTCATTATTGTTGTTTTTGTTGTTGTGGTTTTTTGTATAGAAGATTTTTCCATTATATTAGCCGATTCTATTGATGATGTGTCGATTAAATTATTATCATCACTACCACCACCACCACCACCACCACCATTATTATTATTGATATTTGGGTCATTATTATTGTTGTTGATATTATCATTATCATCATTATCATTATTGGACATGATCGATATTGGTGATGTAATCATCATAGGATGATTATTATTACCACCATATGGAAAATTTAAACCAACACATTGTCCATCAACACACTACATGAATAATAAATATATAGTTTGTTTTTTTTCAAATCAAATAAAAAAAAAATTGTAAATTTTAATTTTTTTTCTTCTCTTCATTCAGTTTTCTCTTACCCTTGATTGATATGGTCCACATCGAACAAAATTTGGACTAATATTTTCAGTATAGAAAATTTTTCCACCCATACGATCCATTACACGACAATAAGTACGACAAACATTACCGCTTAGATTCTTGCATTAATGAAATGTAAACAGTGGGAAAACGAAAGAAAAAAAAATTATTCAAAATCAATCACAAGTTCGTAAACACATACCGTCACTGCTATGGCTCGTATACCGACACCATTATGTAATTGACGACAAAGATAATGATCTAGATGTGTATGACGACGTATTAATTTTGGTACTAAATCTATTGGTTCCAATGATGTAATGATAAATAACATTGATTTAATCAGAAGTATAATTAATACGATCATGATGATGATGATGGTGATTATGGAATATATTTCTTATGATGATGATACCTGTCGAAATGGATAATGATTGTATAATGATGTATGATTTATTCATCATTATTCAATCATTGAAATCAGTCAACCAACCAACCAACCATCCATCCATCCATCCATTCATCCATCCAATGTACTAAATGATAATTTCAACATTCATTTTATTCATTCACATGATATTTGGAATGAATTTTTAAAAAATTTATTATTCAAAATATTCATTCAACCGATTCTTTCATTATCAACATGTTTGAATATATCAATGTTTGTAAACGATGTATACAGCTGTAAAATTAAAAAAACACACACACACACAGACACATATTCAATACCTATTAGGTGTGTATGATATTATATGACCTAAATTATTCATTTTTTCTCTCCCCTAATTAATATATTCAGGTCATTCAATATAAAAAAAAACATATTCTGTCCACGATGTGAAAGAAGGTCCATTTTTCAACTAGGCCGCCAGAATCGTTTCCGTAATTCTCTATGGTTCTAGAATATTCCACAATGACCGTTTTCATGAATTGCTTTCGATATATGAAATTTTATGATTTTTTTTCCTATTCAATTTGATGAAATCATATCATCAATTTGAATCAAAAAAATGGTTCCGGTAATAAAATTTAAAATAATATCCATTGGATGGCGCTATTGGCTTCAAATTTTTGAATTTATACTCGTGATTGATTGTGTCTGTTTGTTGTTCAATCGATCGATAATTATTTTATTATGTTATTATATTGATGATTAAAATACCTAAGGCATTTTAAAATCAGAGTTTCGTCATTTAAGCTCTAAATTCTTTGAAAAAATTTTCATTATTTCATTATTATCATTTTATTAGATGTTTTGAGGGGAAAAAAATTTCCAAAACCAAAATCAAATTGATTTTTTTTTTGCATTGATTCACAGTATTCTCGCTCGGTTGTTTTCTAAAAATAGTAACGATTTAATATTCTAATGAGATTTGTGTGAAACATTCTATAGAATCAAGATAAACATTGATCGTCATAAGCGATTATGACTTTTTGAGACTGTTTTGTCATATATGTCATCAATCACATTTTGCAATCAAATTATCAGTCTAAATATAGAATTTAATTTTAAGCGATTTTTTTTCATTAAAAATACCCTTGCCGGATAATTTATTCATCATCATCATCATCATAATATTTTCAATCAATATATTATCTAACATGTCATCATTGATCAGATAAACGTGTACAATTTCAATAGAATCAATATAAAATCTGAATAAAGAGAATGAGAATGAAAAAGACTCATTTATTATTATTTAGTGTTGTAAAATATATATATATTATATGAGATATAAATACGAATTAATCATTAAAAATCATAAAAACATCAAGTACATTTTTCTTTGATAAAGATAATAATGTTTTTTTTGTGGTTTCTGTTTTTGTTTTTCTTTGCCAATCCAGATAAAGCTAAATAGTATCAGAATTTAGTTAAAAGACGATCAATAATCTTGTCCGATTGATGTTGATGCATCCAATCGATTTGGCCACGTTCCCAATCATCTTTGTTTTTGTTATCTATGATATAAAAGAAAAATAGAGAGAGAGAAAACAACAAAATTAAGCCAAAAATAATATAAAAATCTCATTGAAAATGCATAGAAAGAGATATATAAATTTTTTTTTTTTGTAAATTTAACAACGTGAAAAATGCACACTATGGAATACATGCCAATTTGTTTCTGGGTAACAGTAATAATTTTCTCATCCTCATCATTCATTTGGCGTGTGTCGATCGGATTAGATTGTAATTCGGTATTATGTTTATCATTAAAATTCAAAACATATCCCTTTCCATCATCACCACCATTGTTGTTGTCGATCGTCATAGTCACACCACCATCACTGAAAAATTCTTGAACATTCGATGATTCTGTATTCGATTTTTTATATATATAAAATTTATTTTTTCATTTTATCATCACCATCATTGATCATTGGAAAAGTTTTTAATTCAAAAAAAAACTCACCAAATTCTTTTTCCGTTTGATTTTCATGATTACTAATGACATTGATCCTAACAACGTTGTCGTTGTTGTCTGTATCATTATTATTGTTGTTGTTGTTGTTGTTGTCATTAAATATTCGATCATTGTTATCATTCATTGTTGATGTCGATATACGGCGTAAGGTGAATGGATTTTGATCGAAATTACTACAACTAAGACGACGGTGATGTGTTAACAATAATGGCTGTGATAATGATGATGACAATGTCGATATTCGATTATCATTATCGATTCGGGAACCAATCAATAATACAACATCCATAACAGACCATCCATTTCGTTGATGTTGGTTTTCACCATGGTTTTGGATTTCAATCATTAATGGAATTAGATTCTGTGTTTGTTGAACAAAAACAAAAAGAAGTAATATTAATATATAAATCAAACAAAACGGATACAAAAAAATACATTAACCAAATCGGCAATGTCATTTCCAAGTAATCATGAATTTTTTCATTTGATTACAAACTAATTCAACTTAACAACATACTTACCATTGATATAAAAGGCCAAACTCTTCGTACAAAAATCAATAGATAAAATTTAGCATAATCATCGATAGCATTATGTTCGAATGGATTATTGCAATCATCATCATCATCATTATTGATCAACAATGATGCACGACTTAAATCGAATTTATAGTCCCATGGTTGTAATGAAAAATTTTTTTCATTGTTATGATTATTATTATGATTATGTTGATGATGATTGTTTGTTATGATACGATAATTACGGCAATTACCAAAATTAACCACACGAATGTTTTCACCAAATCTAATCAATAAGAATTTCAAAGAAGGGACAAAAATGTTCAGCATATTAAATTACTCATCAAATGGAATAATAATAAAAGAATTTTAAAATCGATACAATCGATTTTTTGGATTCTGGTATTTTTTTTCAACACACAAACACTCACCTAAAATAAGCCGATTGTTGTGTATAGCTAAGATCATTTCTTACAAAATTATAAATGAATGATAAACGATTCCATTTTGGACGAAAAAATTCATTCAATAATGTCATTTCATCCAATGGATCATCTTCAAATTTACTCGCATCATCAGCATTCGATTGTAATAAAAATCGGTGAGCTATAAACACGATAATTTAAATCAAAATTAATGGAAACGAAACCAATATTTTTTATATTCTTACAGGAGGAACCAAAATGAATCAACTGTCGATATGTTTGTTCATTCGGTTCAAATACAAACACTGAACAGTTAAAATAATCGGGAAAAAAACAATCAACACTGGCGGCCAATTCAGAATATTCGTGAAACAAATTGGAAATATTACCAACAATCTATGAAAATAACACCATTATTATGGTGGGCCGAAAAAAAATTCAGATAACAAATGATGATGAAATGATTAATAACTAAGACAGATTAATACATCCACTTAAAGAAGATAGAATTCGAAAATGTTAAATGTTAAATATTGCATTTGATTTCATATGAAAATTTCAAAAACGGAATTAGAGTTTTCCAGAAACAACAACATAATCACAACTTACCAATGTGTTTGATTCTAAATAGATACATTTTCTATATCCTCTTTGTGATAAATATTTCCATAGATTTACTTTCAAATGCCGTATGCCAAGACTTTCATTATTGAGTAATGCAAAATCATTTGATTTTAATTCAATCACCTGGATTTGTTTAAAAAAAAAAATAAGATTTTGACGTAAATCAAAAGATTATAAATCCATTTTTGATTAGAATTGAGAATTTACCGGTGCAAGGTAACCGAAAAAAATGACTTACCTGATCGAAAAATTTGTTAATCAATACAAGAATTTTATGATCAATATGTTCCTGTTGATGATCACAATTGTTGTTGATGAATACAATCAATGGTATACGATAATGTTTTCGAATATTGAATATTCTACTATTACCATCTTGATTATCATCATCATCATGATAAATAGTTAAATTATGATTATTATAATAATATAATGAATTGGCCATTATAATTGCATTTATTGCTTGCAGATTATTCGTTACAATTGTTACATATGCAAATGGAGAATCATGATGATCATGTTGATGATGAAAATGATCATCATTATTATTATTATTATTAGTTTTGGAACTTGAATCGATCATCATATTCATTAATGTTGATTTTGATTTTCCATTTTCCATGATATTTTTATTCATACTTTGAATAGATTTTTGATTATGATCATCTACCACCATTTTAACCGTCGATAATTGATCTGCTGAAATATTAATAGCACTTCTATTGTCATCATGTTGTCGTAATAATGAATTTGATGATTGAATTTCTTTATTTTCGGCATTATTTATTTTGAAATTTGATTCTAATTGATGATTTCGAACCATTATTGATGATGAATAATTTGTTGTATTATTTTGGTGTTGGTGTTGTTGTTGTTGTTGCTGCTGCTGCTTCTGTTGCATATGATAATGTTTATTTTGACCATTTTGTTGTTCACTAAACTTTTCTATAATCAATTCATTATTTAATGCTGATTGATACGATTTTTTTTGTTTCTGTTGTTGTTGTTGTTGCTGCTGCTGTTTTTGAACTTCAAAAGCTATTCGGTTATCATTATCATTAATATTACTGTTACCATCATCATCATCATGATAATGTTGGCATATTGGAATAATTGATGACCCATGTTTTTGATTCTGTTGCCGATTCTGCTGCTGCTGCTGTTGCTGTTGTTGTTGTTGATGATATTTCGAAACATTTTGCTTATCCATTAATATTGTTCCATTGATTTTTTTGCATTGTTGTTTTCCCAATAGTAGTCTATTATTATCATTTAAAACTTTTACATTAGTTTCGCCACCAATATTACCATCCATCGTATCATGATCATCATCAATCATTAGATTTTTCATTCCAATTTCACATCCATTTTTATTGTCATTGTTGTTCACGTTTTGCTGTTGTTGTTGTTGTTGTTGTTGATTATATTCACGTAGAATATTTGTATCGACAATTGTCAATAAATTTTTCATACATTCTTGCATTGTCAAAATTGTTTTTTCCATCAATAATTTGGAACATGAACGGCATAGTTTATTTTCAGCCAAAATTTCAATTTCATTTGATTTTTCACCACTTACAACAGTATTTGTCATCGTTGTGGATGATTTTTGTTGTTGTTGTTTTCTTTCATTTTCAATGTTCAACGAATTCATTGATGATGATGATGATGATGGCATCACTGTTGTTGTTTCGAATGAAGAAATAATCGGTGATATCATCGGTATATTGTTTGGAATTTTGAATTTTTTCATTTTGATTTTTTTTCAAACATTTATTGAAAAATTGAATTTTCAAAATTTTTTTTCCTGGTTGTAATAAAAATGAAAATCAATCAATAAATGTTAACATAAAATAAATATATGATGTTGTTACAAGTACATTCAGAACACACATGAACACACACACAATAAAGAAAAAACAAAATCACATGGAAATCATCATCATCATCATAATGTTGCCGTCTGGAATGTATAAAATGATGATGATTTTTTTTCAACTTGATTTTCATGTTATTTCGTTTTATCTTTCTCTCTTTCTCTCTCTTTTTTCATAGAAAAATATATCATATCTAAAGAGATACACGATATATTTATCGATCAATCAGTAAATATCGTTATTTTAGATATCGATCAATCGATTTTCAGTGAATTTGTCACTACTATAGACAAATTTGTCAAAAAAAAAAAAAAAAAGAGAAATGCAAAATGTGGAAAAATTCAAACATTCGTTCATCAATGAAATTTTATTTATTCATTTTCTTAAAATTCAAAAATAATTTATTTTCAAATATAGATTTCAAACACTGTCAACAACATTTGCTTGTTTGTATTTTCGTCGTTAAAGTGAAAAAAAAATAATTTGATCATATGATGATGATGTGGACAGAATATACAGAAAATAAAACAACAAGATGTGCGTGTGTGTGTGTGTGTGTGTGTGTGGGTGTGGGTGGGTTTTACTTGAAGTTCTTTTTTCAAGATAATAAATTAATCATGTTATTGTTTTGTTTTTTTTAGGTTACAAAATAGAGAAAAATAAAATAAAATAAAATAAATGAGAAGCCAAAATAAAAACTTTTTTTGTTTGTTTGTTTCCATTATGGTAGTTTCATCACAAAATTAATCAACATCAACATCAACATCATCATTAAGATTATCATCAATTCAATTATTCATGAAATAAATGTGAAATAAAATGCATAAGACCAAAACCAATGGCCAATGCAATCCATTGTGCAATACCGTTTAAATGTAAACGTGATGTTGTTTTGTCTATTATTTCAAAGAATACGATATACAAAATAGTACCAGCTGATATTGCAGCCAATACAATAATATGTAGACTTGATTCACTTGGTGCATCTGATGCATCATTCATAATCATAATGAATATAATACCAATTGGTGACATTAATGCAAACAATGTACTGAAAAACCATAATATTAATTTAGCTCCTTTGATTGGCCGTTGTTTAATCAACATTGATGATGATGATGATGAGCTAGTGATTTTTTCTTGACATTTTTCATAAATCTGAAATGATAATATGAATGCAATTAAAAGTTTATGTGATAGAATTGCAATCAACATTGTCCATATTTCATCATTTTTTGTTTGTACACCAATGGATATGCCATCAAATATTGAATGGCAAGAAAAGGCAAGTATTAGAAGAAAATTATCAATGATATGTGGCCATATTGATGATTTATTATCATTATTTCCATCATAATTATTCTGCATTATAGATAGATCATTATCATTGGAGATGATTGTTGTTACATTGTCATCTTCTTGATGTCTATGATGATGATGATGATGATGTGAACCTAGATTGAATTATAAATGAAATAAAAAAAATTTAAACTTAAAATTGGAATAAAAAATTCATGAAAAAAACAAAAAGAATTTCACCAATTGTGAAATGAGAAATGTCTGTATAAATGATATTTACATTGACGTTGTGTACATGTATTATATCCAATTGTTTGCTGTTGACATGATGAAATTGGCTGTGTTTCACTTAGACCGCTAGATAAAACATTGGTATTCATTTTTTTACCACTATTATTACCACTTATTGTGGTTGATGTTATGGTTATGATTTCTTTATTATCAGATTTCATTATTTTTTGTTGTTGTTGTTCACTAACAATCATTGTCATTGATGATGATGATGACGATGATGATGATGATGTTAACGGTGGTGGTGATGATTGTAAATCATCATTAATTTGTAAATCATATTTAGCCACCTGTTTATCACCACTGATACATTGTCGAAATGATGATGATAAACGTCTTCGTCGTTGTCTTGATCCAGATCTTTCTAATGGTTTATTTTGTCTTTGTTGATCATCATCATGATTATGATGACTATGATGGTGGTGATGATGATGATGGCCATGACCACCCAATATTAGATGCATCAATTCTTCGAGAAGAAATATACCAAATAAACCAGCACATGCACACATATCGACCAATGGTAATGAATCTTCATCACAGTCGCCACAACCAACTATTGTCATTACAGTCATATTAACAATATTTGTAATATTCGTGATATGTGTATTATTATCATGATGATGATGATGATCCCCATCATCAGGATTAAGATATGATTCATAATTTTCACGAATTTCCGGTAACATATGTACGAATGCCGTATAGAATAAAACACCACCACCAATTTGTGTTAAAAATTGTACAATACGATCATGATGGAACCAACGTTTTTTTGATTTATTCGTTGTTTGTCGAATTACCAATGATGATGATGATTGTATATTATGATTACTACCATTGGTCACGGGTAAAGTATTGGAATTTTTTGATTGTCCAAAATATTTTGTTGAAAATTCCAATATATATACTGGTATTGTACCCATTATTAATGTCAATATGAATAGAATACCAGCGGCAATCAAACGTATACCGTTTGAATCGGATGCTGATTGTTCGGTTGTTTCAACAATATCCATCATCATTGCTATTATAATCGAGGGAGAGAACAAAAAAAAAGAAATGTGAAAAAAAAAATTTAATTTTGGAAAAGATGCTTTTTCTCCTAATAACAAAAACGTTTTCTACTTGACTACTGGATCCAAACGATCAATTGGATCAAAATGGGTGAAAAAAATGGAATTGGAAATTCAAAAAAAAAAAAAAAAAAAATTTAAGCTTAAACACGGATATATTAGCATCGATTAAAAATTAACCACTTAACGTACGGTTTTTGTATTTATATATCCATACTAAAAAAAAAAAAAAAAAATGGAATTTGTACATTTATGCATATACTACGCATTAAGTGGTTAAATTTTAAATGATAAAATAATGATGAAAATCATCATCGAAATTGTTATCAGCAGCACAAGTATCAAGATCAATCATAATCATAATTAATAATTAATAATTAATATAAAGTATCTATGTTGAAATGGAAAAAAAATATATACAGGAACAAACTAATTGATCATAAATGGTAGGCGTTTCATTTCACATTAACCACTCTTGATGTGTATAATAATAATACAACACATAGTTAAATTTCTGATAAAAATCAGCACATTGAGTGGTTAATGATTCAAAAAAAAAAAAAAACAAAAACAGAGCTATGATTTTATTTAGATCTAAAATCCGATTGATATGGCTATGATTGGATTGATTTTTTTTTCTTTTTTGGCTAAGAATGTGTTAATAAACGATTTTAAATTTTGTTAAAAAACAAAAGAAAATTATCAATTTAAATCCTATTACAGATTACGGATTAATACGTTGATAACTAATGAAACAAAGGCTCAAATTTTATTGGAAAAAATATATGCTGATATGGCATGCGTAATTTTTTTTAAAAAAAAAACGTTGTTGTTTTATCTCATCTATCCTGGTAGTAAAAATGTTGCAAAAAAAAATTAATTAATTAATTAATGATGATATACGACCTTATCAGTGTTGATCATTTCAATTACAAAAAAATAGTAATGGCAATTGCAATGTTTTTTGTTTCGTTCAAATTTCATTATATGATTCACTTACTTAATTATAATAATCGTTCTGGTTGTTTTTTTTTCTATTCTGGATTTTGTTGTTTCGTATTATTTTCAAAATATATTCTTCTTAAAGTTGTGTTAATTTTGGTTGATGAAGATGATGTCAATTGTCAATTGTAGCTATTTGTTTTTATTTCCGATTTTAATTCCCGTTCCTTTATACACATACAAGTTATTTCGAATTTACACCATCATCGATGATAATAATAATAATTAATAATCAATAAATTCGTTCACTTATAGGTTGGTTGGCAAGGAAAAAATGATCAAAATTGAAATGGACAAGCGACTGGAGAAAAAAAAAAAAAATGCTATTATAACTTGAATATAATTTGTCTGTTTTTTTTTGTTGTTAATTTAATAAACTAAAAGTTCATCACAAAAAAAACATCATGTTCAACAATGAGCAATAGAGAGCTATATATATATTCAATGATGATGATGATAATCATCATCATCATCAATCAAATGATTAGATATATTGAACTCTTAAACGATGTGAATAGAATTCCAATTGCTGAACGAGAGATGAATAAACACAAACACAACAAAAAAAACAACATTGATTTTTCGACTTTGTTCTTGCAAATTGTGTGTGTGTGTGTGTGTTTGTTGGAAAAGATAAATGTGACATTTATTGATTAAAAAAAAATTATGAAAAATAAAAATTAGGTTGTAAATCAATTTAGTAATATTTTATCGATTTAGATTCGATTATTGATTGATTGATTGATTGATATATTTAAACTGAATAAGCATATGTATATTTTCTATAGAAATGAATGAACAAATTGATTTTTGTTTCGTATATAAAATTCAATGTCATGCTATTTTTCTTGTTTGTGAGCTATAATAATAATAATAATTATTATTATTTGGAATTATAATATAAAATTTAGGTCAAATAGTTATTTGACACACACAAACTTCATCAATGAATATCATCATCATCATCATCGAGTGTGTGTGTGTGTGATGTTGATGGAAAAAAAAAAAAAAGATTTTTCCATTTTTGTTGTGTATTCACGAGATTCGTTTGTTTTTCCATGGAATTTTTCTCTATTTGTCCTCTTTTTTTTCATTAATTTATTCACATTCATACACAAAATCAAAGTCAAATTCTTAACACAATATTTTTTTCCACGAATATAATTGAAATATCACTAAAAGAAAATTCTATGTGGTGAATTTCCAAAAATAAAAGAAATGATTTCGTTTTTTTCCCATTAATATTCACTGGCCATCATCATCATCATCTTAATCATTATTTTCTTTGTCATCATTTGAAGAAAAGAGGCAAGAAATACATTGAATGAATTAACTTGAATATCATTTAGACAAAATAAAAAGAGAACAGGATAGCAACAAGAATAAACAAAACAAGTTGTGATCATGCAAATTCCCGAGAAATTGATGACTAAAGAGAAAAAAAAATTCCCAGAATATTCAATCAACAATGGGAACAGGATAAATGTTGTATGATAAAGTGATATGGATTCAAGAATTCAATCAAAGCAATCGATTCATTTTGAATATTTTGAACAGAATGAAAACACAGAAACAAAGAAACACAAAAAGTGGATTCTCATTTAGGATAAAAAATTCTAATGATAATGAATTATTGTTGTTGTCATTAGAATTTCGTTTGTTTGTTTATTATTTGTTTATCTATTATAATATATATATTAAAATTATCACCGAAAACAACAACAAGATCTGATTCAGTTTCTATTGGGAATTTTATTTTTTCGGATTTTTGCCTTCCGTGCTTCATTTCATCATTTAAAACTACAGTAATACCCCGCTTAACGCGGGGGTTACGTTCCAAAAATTCTGAGCGTTAAGCGAAACAGCGCTAAGCGGGGCTATCTTTACATAATGCATTTTTACCCTTCATATACAATGTAACAATGTAATGCAATGTAGGGTAATTATACAGCGTTATATCGAATCAGCGCTAAACGGGGCAGCGTTAAGCGGGGTATGAGTGTATGAAGAAAAATAACAGCTGCAGCAGCAACAGAATTCAACAATGAATTCAATCCATAAGGATTTTATTGCTTTTCTCTTTGTTTATCTCATTAATTCTATCAATTCAAAATGAAGATATTTTCCATTTCCTATTATAAGCATGAAATTCCAATACAGAATTAACAATAGATGCGTATGTGAATACCAGTCACATCCAAGATGAAGAAAAATTGGATTCATATTCGACAGAATAAAAAAAATCAAAATTCGATGACGTTATCGATGATTGAATGAATTATTTTTCATCAAATCTACAGGGAAATTGATGTTTGTATATGTGTGTGTGTGTGTGTTTTTTTTCCATCCACATCTCATGCAATGGAAACATTAGGAGATCTTTCAGGATCTCTCTGTGTGTGTGTGTGAACGTCTGTGTGTATATTTTATTATTATTTTTAGAAAAACAGAGACAACCCCTATTCCATAATATATAGAGACAAATAAAAATCAAAACATATTAAATCACAAATTTACAAGATATGATGATAAAGTTATAAATACAATCGAAATGACCAAAATTTTCCAAATAACAAATCAAATTACGCATTTAGGGCTAGTGTCAATATCCATAATCGATAAGATTATGATAACGTTCGATTGCTAATTTATATTGTGGACATTCTTTACTAAAAACTGAATGATTGACATTTAATTCAGCACCAGACCTATTTTTTTCTGTGTTGATTCCACCACAAACAATTAGCACAACTAGATAATTGACTAGATTAAGTGCATGTTCTTGATTCATGATTAGCATGGCATTTTGAACAGACAAGAGCATTTTTACATTTTCCAGATTTCAAAAAGTTATGATCGATCATTTTTAAACACACACACACACACACACATACACACACATACACACTCATACCTGAAAAATAACGATTTGAATATATATTTTTTTCAACAAAAATATGATATTTTCTTGAGAATTTTTTTTCTTTCTTCAACCGGAATCACTTGTAGGTGTTGTCGTTATCATCATTATCATTATTATTATTATTATCATACAAAGTTGTTGAAGTATTAGTAGTAGCAGCAATATTTAATGTAGTATTTGTCATAGTATTCGTTATTAACGTCATTGATGATCGATTTGGATGTTGTTGTTGTTGTTGTTGTTGATCATCATCATCGGTAATAATGGTTATAGCTGTTGTTAAATTATTTTTGTTATTATTGTTGTTATTGTTTTCAACTGAATTTGATGCATTATTATTATGGTGATTATGATTATTTTTTACCATCATTAAAATTGATTCATCATTTTGTTGTTGTTGTTGTTGTTGTCGTCGTCGTTTTAGTAATAATATTAATCCACAACAACATTCTGTTGCACCACAGCAAAGTATTTTCATTGCTGTTTTACGAAAATTTTTATTCAACCAACAATATATGAATGGATTATAGCTAATAAATGTGTAATTCAATGAAATTAAGAGAAAAAAAATATTGAAAATTGATTTATGAAAAAGTTACACGTCATTCAATTTAGAAAAACAAAAAAAATGATCCAACTCACCTAACTGAAGACATTGCAATCCAATGTACCTTAATGTAAAAAGATAAAACAAGAGAGAGAGAGAGAGAGGGAAAGAACGGGGTAAAAATGAAATTAGAATAATGGAGTTATTTTGTAATAAATATAATAAAAATTCCATTGGCATGCACAGAATAATGCCGTAAGCAGAATATATTTTTATAATATATGGGACAAAAATCCAAAAAAAAAAAATCGCAATCAACTTTATTCGAAATGAGAACAGAACAAAACGAAACAAGAAAAAAATCAAATTAATTTGAATCATCACGAATAAATTATCATTTGGTTTTCGAAGAAAGTTGAAAACATCAAGGGAATTTTTTCTTATTTTTTTTGTTCTAATATTGCATTAAAGAGAATGTAGATGAAAAATTTTGAAAAAAAAATCTGAACATAATTTTAATGATGATATAAATTCCCAAAAGAATCAGATACTGTTTTTTTTCATTTCAAAACTAAATTCTTTCTTAATCAAAATAAATCAAAATTATATTATAATCTTTCTTGACCACTCTCTCTGGTTCGTGTGTGTGTGTGTGTGTTTTCCACCCTGTTAGTTACAAACGGATGAACGAACAAAATTATCTCGAATGAAAAATTGAATGACAAGAACTTTTGTTGTCGTTTTTTTCCCGTTGTAATTCTATTGTTTGTTTGTTTATCACATTTCTTTTTTTTTGGTGTATGTGTACGTGATGATGTTGGTGGTGCTTTTGGCCAATTATATTATCCATAAGCTGGACAATGATTTTGTTTTCAATTTGTTCTCGAATTTTTTTTTCATTCATTGTTATTGCACAACAAAACTACAAAAATCGAAAGAAATCGGGGAAAAAAACGACAATTTAATCCCAAATAAATGAACAAAATTCAAAATCGAAACAATTGATAGATTCCTACAAAAAAATGGATATGAAAGAAATGAAAAAAAAACAAAAGATTTTGTGACAAACAATTTAAATCAAGGACAAATATTCTCGATCACCATCATTTTTTTTTTTTTTTTTTGAAAAAATGTGGATAAAAATAGCAAAACCGAGACAGAAAAAACAATAATAATTCAATTACAGAATCGAAAATTGAAAAATTCTAAATTTCAATTCCAAATAACAAGAACAACAGTGAAAAAAAAAATTGGCTAAAATTTCATTTTTTTTCTCAGATATAAAAATGAATGATTTCTGTAAATGATCGAAAAATTGTTGACAATTTTTTGTTATATAATAATGGTGACAATGATGATGGGAAAAAATAAAAGACGACAATGGCGTCGATCTCGTATATTTCAACGTACAGATTTTCATGAACCAACCACAACAACAACAACTGCAGCTACAGTGACAACTGAAACAATGGCAGAAATTGAAAATCGATCCACATCATCATCATCATCATCATCATCATCATCAATGACAAAAACAACAAATGAAATGATAAATGGACAACAAACATTAAATTTACCATTATTATTATCATCATCATCATCATCATCATTCAATTGTAATTATATTCCATTAGTTTTTAATGGTAAGTAAATAAATAGATCAATCAATCATTTGATTATGAAATAAATAATTTTTCAAAACTTTTAGCCATAGGATGTATATTATTTGCCATATTACGTATACATAATCCATGTATCGATCTGGATATCTATTATAAATTATTATTCACAAATCATTATCATAATAATCGTTTTCGTTATCAAAAAAGTCGTATAAATAATGATGGTAGCGGTGGTGCCGGTATGACCATGATACAGATATCATCATCATTGAATTTTCATATAAATTCATTACGTGGACGTATAAGAAATGGAAATTTTGTCGATATTATTATTATTGTAACATCATCATCATCATCATCATCAAATCATGATGATGATAATAGTGATATTCATAACACTAAAATGATGTCAATAATGATTGATCAATTATGTCAGACAAGATTTATATTAGAATTGAATGAATATCGTCGCCGTTTATCATCATCATCATCATCATCATCGATATTGCCATTATCATCAACATCGACAAGATATATTGAACGCAATGGCTTAGATGATAATTTTAGAAATTTTATAAATAATGATTATGATAACATAGGAATTATTAGTAATAACAACAACAACAACAATGCCAACCACCACCGGAATAATCAACAACAACAACAACAACAACAACATCATGATAATCATTGTAAACATAATCGAAAAATTGAAATATTGTGCCTTATGAATAAGGATTATTATTCAGAAAAAATGAACATTCATCATTATCGATTCTAAAAGCAATAACAACAGCAACATCAACGTCAACAACAGTAACAGAAATGAAAATGGCTAAAAAATTACCATCATCATCATCATCATCATCATCATCATCATCAACATCAATTGATGAACAAATAAGTAAAGATGATGAAAAAAATGATATAAAAATAGAAAAACAAACATTATCCCAAGAGAAATTAGAATATATGAATCATGATGGACAAAAAGAACAACAACAACAAAATTGCCATTCAAATGATAATGATAATGATTCATTTGAATATCAAATACAGTATACTAATGATGATGAAAATATTATTGATACTAAATTTAGCACTGGAAATAACAATAATGGAAATTTGAATAAAAAGTCCGTGATCTCATCATCATCAGCATTGAATAATGAAGAAAATTTGATACTGAACAACGGTGATAATAACGACAATAATGACAAAGATGATTTGGATGATGATAATGGACAAGAAGAAATCATTATAAATCGAATATCAATAATCAAAGTGATAATTATCTTAACTATGATATTTATAATCAATATCATTTCAATATTTATCATGCGACCATTACAACAACAACAACAACCAAAACGACGACAATAACAATAGCAAACAGATGACGAATATATATATATGATTAAAACGTAAAACAAACGCTACTTGTGTGTGAACATGCAGATCATAGATTGATGGTGGTCAGACAACGTTTTTTTTTTTTTTTTTTTTTTTTTGTTGTTGTTTTTCATTCATTTTTGCCAATTGTTTTATCATTATTACTAGTTTAGTAAGAGTATTTTTTTTCTTGTTCATATAGATATATAATCTTCCATGTGTGTAAAAGTTAAAAATAAAAAAGTTTTTTACATATTTTTTTTACACATGAAAAATTCTACACATTTATTGTTTGGAATTTTTTCTCCTATGTGTCGTTGACAACAATTTTATTGTGTGTTTTATTATACACATTTTTTTTATGCTTAGGACTTGACAATAATCATAAAGTTTTTCCTAATATTTCGAATCCAAAACACGAAATATTTCTGATAACCAAAATGATAATTCCTGTAATGTCATTTGTTTTTTGTTGTTCATTCGATAGAAAAAAACAAAACACACACACACACACAAATCATGTATGTTTGGTGTATATTTGAATGATAAAAATAAAAATATAGTGGTGACATATGAAAACAATGAAAAAAAAATCACACAACGGAAACACCAAATGCCTGTCAATTTTGGAACGAAAAAACAATTTATTTTTTCAAACATTTTTCAATACTAGTACAATGCTCAATATATATTCAGTAAACATAATAATCTTCAAATAAACAGAAGAAAAAAAACTGTGTGTGTGTGTGTGTGTAGGCGGATGAGGATGAATCAAAAAAAAAAAAAAAATCAAAGGTAATACTACGGCAGTGGCAAACATACAAATATAATTCCTACAAACAACAAAGAAAAAGGAAATTCAGATTAACAAATGCCATATTTTCATGCACTATAGTGATTTGTGTTTTTTTTTCAACTGTTTTGGATTTTGATTTGATGAATAAAAATAGAAACAAACAAAAAAAAACGAATGAATAAATGAAGCGGAAAATAAAAATGAACAAAAACACAAAATGGATGAATAAAACTTACAACCATAAAGATACGATAATTATATTGTAACCAACCAGCATCGGTTAATATATGAAATATATGCAATGGTAACCAACAAATGGCAAATGCAGCGACCATAAATATTAACATTAGAATACGACGAAATTTTTTTCGTTGTCTTATTCGAGCTCTTGCGTTACCTTTTGTATTTTTTTTTTTTTTTTTTTTTTTTTTTTTGATCCAATACGTGGGTGTAATTAATGAAAATTTTTTGAAAGTTTTGGAGTTTTTTAGGTTTTAAAATACGCGTGGTTGTGATGTTATATAAACGGAAAAAAGAAAGAGAGAAAAAAGGGTTAAATTAATTATGAAATTTAATTAAATTTGCTGATGCTGCTGCTGCTGCTGCTATTTGCTATAATAAAAATTTACCTTTATCATCACATAATTTGCCTTGTCGATGAATAATTTTACCAATTTCAATATAAAGATAACCAACAATAGCTAATGGTATGAAATATTGTGTAATGAATACGATAATCGTAAGTAAAAGATCGGCTTTAATTGAGAAATTTTCCAATAAAAAATTTTTCACATTTTCATTGATTGGATTACGACAACGTTTCATTGTTTTATGATCAAAATTCAATGGTGACAAAGACGACGACGACGACGACGATGATGATTGAAAATGAGGATGATTGTCAACACTAGCGACAGGATTTTGGCCATTTAATTCATTTGAATATGAGTTATTTGTTTGATTATTGTCATAGTTGTTATTTGTTGGAATAGAAAAATCTGGATTCTTTAATAAAAACAAATGTAATATATATGCTATATCTTCTTTAGCAACAACTTCAGATGAATATGTGAATAATAATGAAATTAAAGCCGATGATAACCATGTAATAATGATCAAAATATAAATTGTACGACGTGTAAAACCATCATTATTCATTATATTTGTTGATTGATTTGATGTTTTTGTTGTTGTTTTTGTTGTTGTTGTTGTTGAACAATATTTCCAACAATGACAACAATAAAATGATAATAAATTTTTAAATTGAATAAACGATTGATGAATTTGATTGAAAATATTTCGATTATGTTGATCTTTATTGATCATTATTTCATTATTAATTTCAATGTCATGATCATTATCATTATTATTACTATTAATCGATTTTGTCCTTGTAATTGTTTCTTGTTTATGAATTATCAATGTTGTTGTTGTTGTTGTTGTTGTAGGATTATGACGATTATTATTATTAATTACAACAGATGATGATGATGAAGGATAATTATGATTAAAATGATGACGAAAACCGGATAAACTTTGATATCTTTGTATGGCAATAATAGCCATCGTATAGCTTGATATATAAACAACAACATATTGTAAAAAATTCACTATAAAACACATTGATGAACCAAATGACCATGAAAAATTTGCAATACGAAAAAAATTAAATGGTATATTGAATATAGTCATTAAAATATCCGAAATGGCCAATGATAATATTAATGTGTTGGTTTTTGTACATTTTTGCAAACAAATACGACAAACAAGTAGATTACCAAAAAAACTAATTAAAACAATTATGAAACATGCAATACCATAATAGATATGTTCTTGACGATATGCGTCCTTTACTATTGTATTAATTTGTTCTTGAAATTCTTTTGTTATATCCATTGGATGTTTTCTCATCATTGTTGATGTTGATAATGTTGTTGTTGTTGTTGTTGTTGTGGCTGCTGTTGATGATGAAATTGTTGGAATTATTGATAATAATGAAATATTTGATTGTAAATCTTGTTTTTGTTGTTGATCATAATTTTGTTTGCCCAATAGAAACATTATTTGATCATCATTATTATCATCAACATTATTATTTGAAGCCAAAATTGTAGAATTATGTATGGCTAATATCGTTGCTGATGCCATAATGGTGGATGATTGTTGTAATAATAATCTTCTACCATCATTTATAATAATATCCATGATGTTGATTTGATTTGCATTTTATTAGAAAATTACTTATTCGATTTTTTCCAATAACATACGTTGGAATTTAATTTCATTTCACACACACACACACACAAAAAAAATCCTAGTATCCGGGTGACAAAAGTATCAATGTCCACTTAGCTGTCGATAGATAAACATGGAAAAACATGTAACTAAATGAAATAGACATAAATAGTGAAAGAAATTAATCAACTGGAAAATTGTAATTTAATTCGATTAAATATAGCAATGAGGCAACAAAAAAATGAAAAAAAAAATAGAATAAACTAACATGTAATTCATAAATTTTTATTGCAAATCAAAAGGCATGAATGCATGCATGAATTTGTGTTTCAAAAAAAAACGAAAAACGTTTCAAGAATTTAAATTTTATCATTTCATTTCATTCGTATTTTTTTCAAATACTTTAATTTGACTGAATTCTGTTTATAAAATTTTCCTATTTTTTTTATTATTTATTTTATAAATAAATTGCCTAAAGAATATTCTACGTGTCCAATTTAGATGATGATAAACATATGAGAAAAACATCGTCATCATTATTTAAACACACACATACATATTACAGAATGAAAACAGAATTGAATTCACTATAAAATTGGTTGACTGACTGATGAAACTGTTGGCTTCACTGCAGAGTATTTTTTATTTTTTTTTTTTTTTTTTTGAATTTCACACATAAAATTATGATGACATTCCATTGAAGACGATGATGATGATGATTGTCAAAGTTTCAATATTAAATTGAATTAAACAATTTCCAAATTGTCTACATTTTTTTTACGATTGATATTGTGAATTTCAGAATGAAAAAGTTTTTTTTTCTCGAATGAAAACTTTTTTTTTTTTTTTTGAATAACAATCAATTCGAAATTGCTCTATCTATACAGTGCAAGTTTTGAATAAGTTTTTTTTCTTGAATAAATCTTTTGGAAAAACACAATGACAATATTGTGAGAAAAAAAAATTTTTTTTCTACAAATTAAATATCGCTCCACTAATCAAATAAAATCGGTTCCATCGTCATCATCTTTGTCATCATGTTTGATTCAAAAAAAAATGTGAAAATAGATATCATTGACATTTAATGTTTTTTTGCACATCAAAAAACAACAACAACAACAGTGAGAACTTTTATATTTATTTAATTTCTATTTGAAATTGAAGGTAAATTAAATTTTTTCACCATTTTTTTGTGTGTGTAGGTGTGTGAGTAAACAAACCCAAATATCATATTAATGAATTATTCTCCATTATAATGAATGACATTTTTATTATTCTTAGTTAGCATTTCTTACACACACACAGACACTTTTCAATTTAATTTTCCAACAAAAAAGAATCAATAATAAAATCTTTGAAATCAATAACAAAAACATGCAAACAGACAAACAAATGAGGTGTAAAATAAAAAAAAAATTACATATATCAAACAACTGGTTTACACAATGTGAAACAAAATGTCATATCAGTCATTAATTATAAATAGTTGAATATATGTTAATTATGATGATTAACTAATGATGACGACAATCAGACCTTGAATTTTTTTTTTTTTTTTTTGATTAATACGTTTTCTATCTAAACCTAGATTCAGACATTCATTGTTCATCATTGTTTCAAGCCATGTATTTTTTTTTTTTTTTTTTTTGTTGTTGCCTAATTATTTCTGAAATTTTTTTGCCAATGATTTTGATGAAAAATAGTGTTGGGCAAAAGAAAGAGAGAGAGAGAAAAAATATTCATTTACGTTAATCATTTGTTAATAAACATCATCATATGGTAAACATTTTTGATGATTAAAACATAAATATCAGAAAAAAAAAAATGACAAGCAAAACATGAATATAATAAATACAGTTCTGGTTCTCTACTTACGAATTTTTTCAACAGAAAAAAAATGAATGTAGAACCAATCAATGATGATGATTTTTGTTTTTTTTTGCTGTCAAATAAACTGATAAATTGTCATAATTGATGAGTTTTTCTGAATTTCAACAGGATATTAAAAATTTAACACACACACACACACACACCCTATAGATATGAGATATGAATTATAATTACAATTTTCAACATCAAATAAATGAAAAGAACAAAATTTCGATAGAAAAACTTGGCAATATTTTTCATGAGATATAATGAAAGGATCTACAAAAATAAAATCAAATATATAAATGTGGAATCGTTCTGGTTTGATGAGAATTTAATATAGGAAAGAATGTATTACATAACAAACCCACACACACAAAAAAGCGCAGGACATTTTACTTATGGAAACGCATGCGTCGTATGAATAAACGGAAAAAGAATCCTTTTTTTGCACCATTCAAAGAGAGATAAGAATAATGAGAGAGAGAGAGAGAGAGAGAGAGAGAGAGAGAGAGAGAGAGAGAGAGAGAGAGAGAGAGAGAGAGAGAGAGAGAGAGAGAGAGAGAGAGAGAGAGAGAGAGAGAGAGAGAGAGAGAGAGAGAGAGAGAGAGAGAGAGAGAGAGAGAGAGAGAGAGAGAGAGAGAGAGAGAGAGAGAGAGAGAGAGAGAGAGAGAGAGAGAGAGAGAGAGAGAGAGAGAGAGAGAGAGAGAGAGAGAGAGAGAGAGAGAGAGAGAGAGAGAGAGAGAGAGAGAGAGAGAGAGAGAGAGAGAGAGAAATCGACAGCAAAAAAAAATGTACAAATAAATGAGCACTACAGAAATTATTCAAATGAACGTGATTTTTTTCCTGTTCATCCAATCTTTTTCATCTTTTCGTTTCTTCATTCTGTCCAATTTATTCAATTTACAGCAACAGCAACAACAACAACAACAACAACTGATTATGATGATGAACACTTGTTTATTTTCCATCATTTGAAACCAAAAAAAAAAAAAAAAACACCACAAAAAAGAAAATTCTCGTTACATCTGATAAAATTGACATTGAAAACAGTATTATTATTTCTATGGATTCCTACCAAATTCCCAATTCGATATTATGGTAAACATGATTATCATAAGTAGTGAAGAGAGAGAGAGGAGCCATGAATCCAAAATTCTCTATTAATTCATTAATCATTTTTATTTTTCTTGAAGCATAAAATTTGAATGCAACATTTTTTTTTGTATTTTAATACGATTATTTTATCATTTATCATATTCTCTTCATTCCATTACTGTTATTTGTTTTCTAATTCCAATGATGATTGATATTTTATATTCTAATCAACCGCATTGGTGGTAACAATTTTTTTTATTCGTTGCATGAAACAGATGCATACACATTTAGACAGCATAATCGATTTTTTTTAATTAATTTTTTTACATCCATGTTTTTCATATGAAGAAAAAATAAAAAAATAAAAATTACCAAATGGAATTTGAGAATAGAAAAAAAAATTATGACATTTTTTTTCATATTTACTCAACAGATGGCAGATGTTATCATCATCAATCATTCGAATTAGAAATTAGAAATTTGATGTATTCATTGTATTAGATTCACCATCGTAGTCATCATCATCATCATCATCATCAAGATTATTATTTTCAATTGATTTTTCTTGTCTAATTGACAATGATTTTGTTTTTAAACGATATTGTTGATAATGTTGTTGTGGATATGTTCCAAATCGTTTTCGATGGCTACCATCATTTTGTTGTTGACCACCATCATGATCATCATTTGATGTTGTTGACGATGAAAACATCCAAAAATATGATTAATACTATCAATTTGTTGTTCACATTGATTGATTGATGAATTTTGTTGCTGCAATTGTTCTATTGAATTATCGATTAATGATAAATCTTGATGAATTCTATCATCATCATCATCATCATTATTATTTTATGATCATCGTTTGTAATGACATTGTTTTGATAACAATGATGGCCATGATCATCAAATTCTGTGTTTACATCCACTACTTTCTTTTCAATCACACGATTATTATCATTATCATGATTTTGATTTAGAATTCGATGTAAATTTTGCCGGTTATTATGATCAGAATTATGATTATTATTATTATTACAGCCATTATTATTATTATTTTTAAAACAAAAACAAAATATCGATATCGTTGTGTGACGAAAATTTTTATTTAACCAACAATAAATGAATGGATTGTAGCTACAAAAAAAAAAAAAAATTATTAACAGAGACAATCAATGATAAAGTGGACACAATCAAAATTCTGATTCTATTCTACATACCTGACTGATGACATGGCCAACCAATGAACCTATATATAGAAACAAGATTAAAAAATTAGAATTAGAATTTAAATCACAAACAAATCAATTTGCATCTCATTTCATTTGGAATTTTGTTACAGCGATAAAATTTCTGTTTTTTGTTCGTAAGCACAATGGAAGTTCCACATTTTTTTTGGATTGAAAAAAATTCCATAGATTCTACTTTTGTATAATACTGGCCAAATTACATATATCTCTTAACATTTAATTCTGGAAAAAAAATTCCTCATTATTTTTTTCCATTCATTCTTCTAGTTCTTTCTTTTGATTCTTTGTTAAATGAAATTATTCGATTCACGTACATCATTATTACCGACAACAACAACAATATCATCATCATCATCATCATCATCATCATGATATTATTATCGGATCGGGAAAGAAAAACACTAAAAACACACATGCACACTGAACACAATATTCATGACCTCTATCACTTACTTACTGCAAATCTTGTTGCATTCATCTTTGTATTTTTTTTTTTTAAAGAACCAATTCATCATTTACCCACAAGCAAATGATATGTATGTACTATTACTACTGCTACTACTATTAATCATCATCATCATCATTATTTTTGATACTATGTTAAACCTGATTTAACGGTAAGAAAAAAATGAATTGGATTCATCATCATCGAAAATTCGTAATAAAGTCAATTACATCATACAATTTCCTTTATTTTCACCCAAATTCAATGAAAATTTGATTTATAAGAAGAATAATGATGAGAAAAAATAAAAATGGCGATCACATACCCGTACACACAAAGGCTACCTCAATATATGGTTAGCAATAATTTAATTCAATCATCCAGTTGTGAATGTGTTTATTATGATGAAGATCGAGATCAAATTAAATAAATCACGCACACACACACACTTGAAGATATACTTGGCTTGATTTTCGTTATTTTTTTTCTCCACCTCTTTTTCTTTCTATTTTTTTTACATTTTGGGATTTTTTTTCTGTATATCCATTTAAAAAAAACCATTTTTTCTGTTCTTTTTTCTTCTTATTTTGGGGTTTTATTTTTCATTTTTTAACCTTCTGTACAATATATATTCAATTTAAAAAGATTACAAAATTTGATAGAAAACCATAAATAGCCAAGCTATATGGTGGCCACCCACATTTGGATATTACGATGATGATGATGATGATGATGATGATTGATTAATCGATATTGTCTTTGACCTTTTTCATCATGAAAATCCGTATAGAATATAGAATTATATGGAATTTTTTCAAAATAAATTTAATAAAATGATGAAAAAAAAAAAAAAATACGTAGGCAATGCACTTACCATCATAAATATACGATAATTGTAATCAATTAATCCAATATCGATTAATATATGAAACAAATGTAATGGTAGCCAACAAATGGCGAATACCATGACCATTAATATTAACATTAATAATCGACGATTCTTTTTCCGTTGTCGTATACGTGTTTTTGCGTTTCCTTTATCATCGATGACCACCACGGAAATGGTAATAAAAAAAAATATTGTGATGATGATGGGAAAAAAATTGAAAAAATTGAAAAATAAAAAATTAACATATATATCGTGTGTTTGCATATGAAAAAAAAAATTTGAATAAAAAAAGCATAAATTTTATGAATTTCATTGAAAAAAAAAATTTGATCATGCATAAAAAAAATGGAAAATGGAAAAAACAAACAAACCTTTGACATTACACAGTTTGCCTTGTTGATGGATAATTTTACCAATCTCTATATATAGATAACAGATTGTTGATAATGGTATAAAATATTGTGTAATAAACACAATGATTGTTTTGAATAAATCAGCTTTTATATGGAATGTTTGTTGAATAAAATTTTCAATATCATTATTGATTGGATTACGACAACGATATATATGATTTTGTTCTTGTTGTTGATCAATAAGAAAATTTTCAAGAAAATTTGTTCGATTTTTATTATTACTATTAATAATCATACCATAATCATCATCAATATTATCCGTATCATTTGAATTTTCTATCATGGACGATGATGATGAATCTTCATATAAATCACGAACCAATATTTCCAATATATATGATGCATCTTTTTTCATAACAACTACACTTGAATATGTTAATAACCATGAAAATAATGATGATATTATCCATATGATTATAATGAATAAATAAATAGTTCGCATTGAAAATGAATCATCTATTATGGTAGTAATATTTTTATGCTGATCATCATTATGTTGTTTTTGGTGATTACGATGTTGATGATAGAATAATAATCGTATTATTTTATCTAAATGTTGATTATAGAAACGTTTTAGCAAACGAATCGGTGCCATACAACAACTGAATACAGTTGATAATTTTTGTCGATAATATTGAAAAAATGTTGAAAAATTATTTTGATCATGATCATGGTCATCATCGACATTATTATCATTTTTGTTCTGTTGTTTTTTGTTGTTGTTGTTGTTGTTGTTGTTTATGCATAACACTCAATTGTAATGCAGAACGAAAACGATATACACTATAATAACGTTGCAATGCAATAATAGCCATTGTATATGTGGAAATATATACAGCACAATGTTGAACAAAATTCACAACAAAACAAACAATTTGTCCAAATGGCCATGAAAAATTTACAATACGAAAAAAATTAAACGGTATATTGAATATGGTCATCAATAGATCAGAAATAGCCATCGATATGATTAATGTATTGGTTTTTGTTAATTTTTGCCAACAAATTTTACATACCAATAGATTACCGAAAAAACTTAATATTATAATACAAAGATAAGCAATGCCATAAAATATACGTTCATTACGATATGTATCATTCGTTAGCATACGTATATCTTCACGTAATAATTTCAAATGATTTAATCGATCTTCATCATCATCAATGTCATCATTGATAATAACATGGCTATTATTATTATTCATTAGTTGATTGTCGCTAATGTTATTCATTGTTGTTGTTGTTGTTGTTGATTCATGTGCTAATACCGTTAAATTTGTTGAAAATTTTATCGGAAATTCAAAATTAATTTGCATGATGATTATTATAATGATGAAAATCACCATTATGTTGTTGTTGTTGTGGCTATTTTTATTGCTGTTGATGTACATTTTCCGTTGAATGGCCATTATCGTTGATTTTTTTTGTTTGTTTTTTGTTTGCCAGATGAACAATTAATTCTTTGTGGCAATGGACAAAGTATTTTGTGTGTGAGAGAAAAAAAAACAATTGAATAAATGATTAATATGCAAAAACATTTGAAATGTCAAAAATGATGGAAAAAAACAATCATTTTTTGAATGAAAAATCTGTGATTGATTTCTGTGGAAATGGAACACAACAACAGGCATTTTTTTTCAAGAAAACTTCCTTTGCGTGAATTTTTTTTTTTGCAGATATTAAAATTCTAAAGAATCTCAAAACAAAATTCCTGATCGAAAATCAAAAATTGAATTCAATAAATAAATGAGATATACAAATAAAGACAGAATAACGTTCGACATCTTGAATTTTTTTTTTAGTTTATTTTCTTTGCGGAACTTGTCTATTGTCTATTGTTTTTTTTCCTCTGATTTCTGCTGGACTGTCGAATTTTTTTTTTTTTTTGTTTCATTGCAACAAAAAAAAACTTGCGTAGAAAATTCTAGTGAAAATTCAAATGTCAAAAAAATTGAATTCATTTTTTCCACGTAACATATGGTTTTTTTTTTTTTGTTATCAGCCACATCACAATATGTGATAAATATTTTATCCATTTTTGTTTGTTTGCTGCTTGTCATGTTTATGTAAATTTTTTTTTTTGACAAAAAAAATGAATCTTTTGAATAATAAAATTGGATCATATATAATGAATAATGGACAAATTTATGTTGGACTGGATGTTTTTTTTTCTCAATCCCATTGTGTGTAAATTATGATTTCAAAACACATTATTATCCATCTTCTCTGTCTATTTTTTTTTTTTTTTTTTTTTTTTGTTCATTTTTGTAATTTTTCATTTTAAAATGAAAATTCAAATTCATCACTTGTTGGTTGTTCTCTCTTGATTCTGGAGATGAAAAATAAATAATACAAATTATAGTGTCAAAATTGCAAATGTTTGTCTTACCGATTCTGTCATTTTTTTCGGTTAACACCAGCCGATGTAATGACTTTTCTATCTGAAACCTTATCCAAGAGAGGATTTTGATTTCGCACAAACATTTTTTAAAAACATTGAAGAAAAACCGATTTTTTCACATTAAAGTCAGAAAAGGTCATTTTTTTGAAAAAATTCTTTAATTCGGGCTGTAGCAAAAGAAAACCGTGTAATGTTTCTTAAGAAAAAAACAATCTCCAGTTACAAATGACTCAAAAAGCCAGAAGAAAAGAAAAGAAAATCAGACAGAAAATCGGATATGCTTCAATTTTTTTTTTCATTCCAAAAAAATTCTTCTTAAAAAATGTAAAAAAATTCAAAATGTAAACATATAAGACGGGGAAAATACAAAAAAAAATTTAATTTCACTGTTTTTCTTTTTTTTTACTATTTGTAAAGAATAAATTAAGTGTAAAAATTTGCTTCTAGCGACTATGACAATGTTCATCGATTTTAAATTTAAATTTTCATTGATCAAAAAAAAAAAAAAAAATTTTCCACTCATTAATAAGAAGAAACAGATTCTTTGAATCTTTTGATTTCAATTGTTGTGGATTTTTGTTTTCAGCTATACATTGACAAGACAGTTTGTCGTTAAAACGATTGTGGTATTGTTTATTCTGTGAAGAATGATACAAAATTCATCATTAATTCGGATTTATAAATTCATCATTGAAAATTCCGTATTTTTTTTTAGTTTGATTCGCCGTAATATTACATTGGAAAAATGAAACCAAATTAGATTAAATGTTGTTAAGAATACAAAATGAAATGGATGAATTTCATTACGGGTAGATGAAATGAATCAAAAAAAAAAAAAGTTTTCTCAATTCAAAATAAATGAAAAATCAAGGATAATGCAGAATAATTTATTCAATAAAGTTCCACAGGTGATCAATTTGTTAATAGCTAATAATAATGATATTAATAATAATAATAATAATCAAAATACGTACATCTTTAGCATTAAAAGTTTTGTATTGATGTTACTTTCAACATCATGATGATGAAAACATGGAATAAAATAAATGACAAAAAGTAAATTGAATAATTTTCAGAAGAAAGACAATATTCTGTTATTCACAGATTTTTTTTTTTTGGATATGAATTACACACACACACACACACACAGAGAGAGACATTTATTTACATAATTTAATCATTTTAAGTTTCACTTATTGATAATGTTGATGATAATTGATAAAGTTTTTGCGTTAAGTGAATCTAACTTTTTTTTTATTATCTCTGGTTATCTTTATCATTCACATCTTCAATGATTGTATTTTGCATGAATGTTTTTGGTAATAAATTTTTGTTTGAAACAAATCAAATGTGAACACACACACATCACACACACACACACACGCAAACATTATGAAATAAAGGAAAAAAATAAATCAAAGATTCTGCGCTGGCCACCACCACCACCACCACCATCATCATCATCATCATCATCATTGCCATGAAATCATCCATATTCCATTTGATTTGGTTTTCTTCTTATTCTCTCTTTCACTCTCTCTCTCTCTCTCTGTATCTCGATCCCCATCCCCATCCATTTTCTAGTTTATTCCATCTATAGTCACGAAAAACATTTGGTAAAGTTTTCATATTAATGTGATGTGGAATTTTTTTTTTAATATTCTCTGTACATCGGTAAATGTCATACAATAATAATAATAATGACAACAACAACAGCGACGACGACGACTACAACATTATTACATCACCAACAACAACAACAAAACAAACATGTTGCTTTAGCTAATGAAATTTTGTAATAGAAAAGTTTTTTCTTTCAATTTTTTTTTCTAAAAAAAGGTTTCTAATTTCACCAACAACAATAACACCAAAAAAAAAAAAAAAACATTTTGGATTATAACAATTTCAATGATTTTGAACGATATAGCATATGATTGGACCAAGGGTAAAATTTCTTGAATTCATCATCCCATCAAGGGAAGGTTAAGGAGAAAAATTTTGAAAAGTCAAAAAAAATGTAAAAAAAATTGTTGACGACACTTATCAAGGAAATGGCCATACATTTGTCTTTAATTTACTGGGTTTCCGTATGATGATGAAGATGAACATCGATTATATCGATTATAACGATTATCGTTTTATTTTTATTTTTATTTTTTCTTCATTGCATCAGAAAAATATCCACCATCCATATATGAAAATAAAAACATCATTTTTTTCCCCATCAAACAGGAAATTGTCTTTGATGAAACAAAATGGTCAAGAAAAAAAAATTTTCAAATGAATTCAAACATTTTTTCTGTCCATAAACAAAAGAGAGAGAGAGAGAGAGAGAGTTCTTAGATGGACATCATCCATGGTCCATTATTATTATTGTTATTACCATTACCGGATGATGATGATTGCAATTCAATGGAAATATGTGATGTAAATGTCATTTCAAGAAATGAAAAATAATCTAACGCAAACAATTTATTTCTCTGTCAATTTCAATATTTATCATCAATAATTTTAATTCAATTAAAATTTAAATTGATGATAAATTTACATTAAATTTTAAATAAATGAGAAAAAAAATAATGCAAACTTTTCAATCAGAAATGATGAAAATTGATTACAACCAATCTGATTCATTGTTACTTATTTTATGTAATCATCATTTGTGTTGTTTGACTCATATCATTTGATCATAATGCTTGTTGTTTATCATTTTTTTTTTGAGCCAGTGATATGATTTTTCAAATGTGTGTGGGTTTTATTTTTCAGTAATAAAAATATTTTCAATCTCAATGATAAATTTAAATAATGAGGAGCCAATTTTAATTTTCGGTTATTATTTTAGTATATATATAATATACACATGACCGTATGGCGTTTATCTACATGATGATGATGATGATGAAAGTCATTGGTCATTTGTCAAGAAAAACAGAAACAGTAATGTAACTTGCAAAAAAAAAAAAAACAACAACACCGGCAGACATAGCAGCCCGGTTTATATGATGATGATGATCATCATCATCATCGTTTTTGTTGATTAGCCGAGAAAATTAAAACTTGAATAACACAGAAAAAATGATCGTTTAAAAAAAAAACAAATTGAATTCATTTTGTAAATCTTTAGAAAGAAAAAGTTTAAGTATCATATATTTGGTTATTATATCATCATCATCATCATTGGTTTAAATTGATGATGTTTAAAAAGAGATCGATAACCGAACAAAATAAGAAAGAAAGCAAAAGAAGAAGAAAAAAAAATCCATCTAATTTTAGCTAAAATAAAAATTGTATAAAATTAGGCCATCCATATGATGATGATGATGATGATGATTTGATATAAAGCCGAACCAAAGAAAAAAAAAGCCGTCGACATCGATACATCTCGATTACGACGATATGATCTTCATCGTCGCCGTCGTCGTCGTCATCATCATCATCATGCATAATCTGATCATATATATGATCATGCGTTATAAAGAGAAGAAAAAAGAAAAAGATGAAAATTCAAAAAAAAAAAAAAAACAGGTAAAAATTGAAAATTTTCCATTTTTCCATCTCAAATCAAGAAAAAAAAAATTAACCTTCTTTTTTCTTCATTAGAAAATGACCATGTGAATTTTGTACATTTATAAAAAAAGTGAATGAAATGACAAAAATGATTAACTTGAAGATTAATAATCATTTTTGTTTTGTTTTGTTTTGTTTTTT